CCCTACAACTTTATATATATATTCCTGTATATCTCCTTTGTCGAATCTACAGTTCTATTAATTCTCAATTATCTTAAAATTAATATTTACACATTCCATCGTTAGTTTTATCATCGCGTTTCATTTATTCTCTTTCAGTTTTTACTGTTTAAGTCATGAGTCAGATTTCATTACGTCTTTGGTTACTTTAGCCGCTCTTATCTTTTTCTTCATCTCGATAAGTCACCTTCAAAGCATCCACGGAGTAACTGATCGCTGATAATGCAATTTAATTACATTATATTTTTCGATTCTGCACGTACAATGTCTCAAGGTAGCTGGTCTCAGAAAGAAGATGAAATATATTCTATTCTATTCTCCTTTATTTCTCAACTCTGTCATAACTTGCAACTTCTTTCTTTTCCTCTCTCTTTTTCTTTTTGTTTTTCGCTTCTATCAATGTTAACACGTCGCGGGTAACGTAAAAGAAGAAAACGGAAAAATGACGCCAGACCTGCGGTCGGCCGGATCTGGTTCAGAAACGAGATACGCCTGAGAGACCTCAGATGAACAAACAACAACGTGTCGCGTCTCCGCGAGACGATAAATAAACTAGACACGATTGGCGTCCGATACCTGTTTATCGATAATCTCCAATCAACATGTAAGTACTCGAAAAATTTATTTCATATGCTGGGCGATTTTACAAAACATTCTGAGGACAGATTTTCGTTTCTGTTATATCTTTGATGTTCTTTGAACTTTTAAATATAATTTCTTTATTCGTCTTGATTGACGATTGAGTTATGTAAGTTATTTGTAACGAATCGTTAGAAAGTTGTTGATTTCTTGACAAATATTTGAGTAATGTCAGAAAAATCGACCACAAATTTATTGTCTTTAGTTGAACTTTCTGCATTCGGAATAAAACAAATATATGTTTAGGTTTTTGGAGAAAGAAAAAGGGGAAGATAATAATTGCAAGGAAGTGTATAAAAAAGTTATAGTTAATATTAGAAAAAAATAGCAATCTTTTCAGCGGTGGATAAATTCAGAATTTATTTACAACGCGCCAGTAAATAACGCTTAATTAATAAGAACTATTAGTGTTTCCCTATTTTTCATTAATTCAGCTTCATATATGCACAAAAGAAATACAATCTGGAAATAATTATGGACAATTTTCCAAATTATTACGTCCCGAAAACTGAGCATGATAGCATTTCAGAGTCATGTCTCGGACATAGAATTAGCGTTCTTAGACTAGATAATTTCAACTTTTACTAAAACTTTAGATTTTATTTTGTAACACAAAAATAGTTTCACTATATATAGTGACATCGAAATAACTCTATAATACATAAAACTTTATTTTTTCACTTTTTTCCATAAAAGTTTTCAATCACATACTTTCTAACATCTGGCATATATTTCTATCGCGTTCCCCTTCGTTTTAACATTTACATACAAAAAACGCAACATTCGGATGCATGAGAATACACGAAAATCGGATTCGCTCCTATAGTCAATATGCTTTCCCAATCGGGCAACACCTGCATGTGCGTTGGAAAATGTGCGTTTACGCGAGCATCTGCTCTAATGCACGATCTACTGGCCCATTTCCAGCTGCGTGTCCCGGAAGCAAGAGAGGCATTCGCCCCAATTAATTATAAATTATCCAGGATGACGCGTCCCGAAAGTTTACCCCCTTTATCCACACCCCTTGGCCGACTGCGAGTCAGACTGTGAGCAGAAAGTACGGAGTAGAAGCTCTCTCAAACATCAACCAACAAATCCGACATCATTTGACAAAAATCACTTGGAAAAAAATTATTTTCAAAAATTCTAAGAAATGGATGTTATTTCAAATACTTTTTTATATTGCTTTACTTAATTTCTAGCAATATCTTTAACGGTTTCACCTACATATCAATATATATAACCTGTGATACACAAAATAGGAATAAATATTTTTGAAAAAATAATTCTTTGAATTTATGAGTAGCAAATCGATAACAAAGCAAATAAAATAAAATAAATTTAATTAATAGCATATATCAAGTATACTTAACGCAGTTAAAATGCACATTAAATCGTTTGAAAACATTCAAAAAGTATCTACGTTATGAACAATGCGCAAAAGAGATGTATAAAAAGATGCGTAGATGATAATATAACCGACTTTAATCTCAAGGCCGCTGCTCTTTGCGGACACCTGTCTCTCATTTCGTTAAAAATCATTCCAAGACAATGGATAAAACGGTAAAACTTGCTTTGTCGACGCAATCGCTTTTCTAAATAAAAAGCAGAGAGAGAAAGATATATTGTGACATAATAATATAATTTATCACACGAATATAGTCGTGCATTTTAAAAACTATTAATCCTGTATCGAGACATGTATTTAAATTAATTAAAACTGGTAGAAATTTAATACGTTATTCTGGAAAAATATTCAAAATATATCACAATCTATTAGTAAATATATATTACTAAATAAAATTGAATCTCTATTAATATAGAGAAAAATTTTATTCGTAATATTTTTTGAAAAAAAAATTGCAACAATTAAATAAAACTTGTTTGAGAATTGTATAGCGATAGATATTTCTTTATCTACTCACTGTTATAATTTATATTGCATAATTATCGGTATATACCGAATTATATTCCGAGAAAATCGGGTGTCGAAAGACGAGTAAGGAAAAAAACCGCTATTGTACGCGTAGGGGAGGAACAGAAAGGGGACAAAAAGGAATGAAAGGAGATCACAAGTGGTAGAACAGAAGACTATGTAATAGACAGAGGACGGTGGCAATTTACACTTAGAGCAAAGAGAACAGCCGATATTTAGTATCCTGTCGCGTTATCACGCTCGAGGTATCCCGGAGTAAGAGGGAAACAGAGTCCGGAGATGACTGAGAGCTCGGTAGCGGGGAGAAGGAGCGAGCGGAATATAAGGTGTAGGCTTACTTTAGACTCTGCGATATGGAATTACCATACTTATATTCAGCTTTAATATTAAGTTACCACTTTGCTTTACGGCAAGTGAACAGGCCGCCTGCATATAGGAAGCCATCCGAGCGCTCCTGGGACAGTCCATCCCATCTGGGCCCACCTACGAATAACAACGTTCGAACAAGGAAAGTCTCGCTTATTATTTCCACTCGTAATATATCGACGGGCTTTCCTTTCTGCCATCAGTTGGAAATTCCTGTTGCGGGGAGGAAAAGTGTAGTTTTTAAGAAAGCCTAGACGTTCGGTTTTATCTATAATCGTGGAATACGCATATTTGCTCGTTCTCCGTGTTATTCATCCCGAAGAGTAATCGGCTTCACTTTCTTTTACCGGATGAAACAGTTAAAATCCGTAGTTTTCGGAGGCGAAAGGAGGTATGTAATTATTGTCTGATAAAGGAGTAATTGGGTTAAAGAGATATGACGTAAATATTCATTCTGTGAAATCAATCCCCCATCTTTGAAATTGGATATTGATCTCGAAATATCCGATTCGCGTAACATTCGATGACGTTTATCCTAGTTTTGCGGATCCTTGACCTTTCTCCGGAAAGATAGCATATCTCATATAAGGCTTCGCAATAATCCTATCTGAAAACTCACCGTGTGTGCGACGCGCTTTTCAGTTACGACGATAGAAAGTGAAAGAATTTTGCGCATATAAGAAGGTAGAGGTACTGACTTCTGTGCGTGCTGGGGTACGAGCTGGACTTCCTAGCACCATTAGAAATCAGTACTACTCTTCTTAGCATTCGGCAAAGCTAGACGAAGCGAGGCGGGATCGTTTTCTCGTTTTACGAGTGCGCGTGATTAAAAGTTAAGGAAGATCTTGGAAAGAGAATGTTGGCGGAGACTAACGTAATTCTGTGAGAATAATTAAACGCTTTCTTATTTTTTTTTAATCTTTCTCATACATCATTTTCATATCTATACATATTCTTTTTTTATCTTTACAGCCACTAGTACGGCATTACGGCCGATACGAAGACGTAATATTTATACGTTGTTTGTGCGATGTCCTGTCTTATTATTAAATTACAGCTCTTTTCACCAACCCTCTTGTGCGCGCGTTTCATTCCTCCAGTATAACGGTCGTTATTACAATATACAAGACATGAACAATGATCCTATCCCCCTAGTTGAGACAAATTAAGTGGCACAGTTGTCTAAACTATTCTGCCCGTCAGATATATGCCTGTAGTATAATTATGATTAACTATGTAAAGAATGTCATGAAAAAACATTTCGTAAAATATTTCTAATTACTAATTGCGCGAAATTTGTAAATTTTGTTAACTTAGTTTTATCAATTCTTAGCTGAATTAAGAGAGCCCTCTCTAAAAACAAAATTGAGATATCAGACATTCGTCCAGTGAATCGTATATGATCGAATTTCAAAATATTGTTCACTTTATTGAAATTATTTATACTAGGAGGGAACGTATCACATTGTTATTCAGTGTATGTTGTAGTCTTTCGTACACACTTATATAAATATTATTATATACATACACACACATATACATACACGAAGTCCTATGAGAAGATAACATATAAGTAGAATATAAACCGGTACTACCATATATCTTTTTCCTTTGGAAAAATTTCCGGAAATGCATTGTTTTCAAGATATCTCATTTTTTTAATAGTAACAGCAATAGGTTCAGGATAAGAACAATTAAGTGGGAAAATTGGCAGATAGGAGCTAAGGCGCGAATAGTGCATTTGTTTTTTTTTTCGATTCTTCGTGTAGAATTTTGGTAATTCTGTTACAATTAAATCTAATATTTATATTTTTCTAAAATAAATCAGCTAACTCCAACTCTTTCTAATAGTAGTTGCGTTCGCGAATGAGAGATGTCGAAAAACTTTATTTTATAATATAATCTTTCTCATACATCATTTTCATATCTATACATATTCTTTTTTTATCTTTACAGCCACTAGTACGGCATTACGGCCGATACGAAGACGTAATATTTATACGTTGTTTGTGCGATGTCCTGTCTTATTATTAAATTACAGCTCTTTTCACCAACCCTCTTGTGCGCGCGTTTCATTCCTCCAGTATAACGGTCGTTATTACAATATACAAGACATGAACAATGATCCTATCCCCCTAGTTGAGACAAATTAAGTGGCACAGTTGTCTAAACTATTCTGCCCGTCAGATATATGCCTGTAGTATAATTATGATTAACTATGTAAAGAATGTCATGAAAAAACATTTCGTAAAATATTTCTAATTACTAATTGCGCGAAATTTGTAAATTTTGTTAACTTAGTTTTATCAATTCTTAGCTGAATTAAGAGAGCCCTCTCTAAAAACAAAATTGAGATATCAGACATTCGTCCAGTGAATCGTATATGATCGAATTTCAAAATATTGTTCACTTTATTGAAATTATTTATACTAGGAGGGAACGTATCACATTGTTATTCAGTGTATGTTGTAGTCTTTCGTACACACTTATATAAATATTATTATATACATACACACACATATACATACACGAAGTCCTATGAGAAGATAACATATAAGTAGAATATAAACCGGTACTACCATATATCTTTTTCCTTTGGAAAAATTTCCGGAAATGCATTGTTTTCAAGATATCTCATTTTTTTAATAGTAACAGCAATAGGTTCAGGATAAGAACAATTAAGTGGGAAAATTGGCAGATAGGAGCTAAGGCGCGAATAGTGCATTTGTTTTTTTTTTCGATTCTTCGTGTAGAATTTTGGTAATTCTGTTACAATTAAATCTAATATTTATATTTTTCTAAAATAAATCAGCTAACTCCAACTCTTTCTAATAGTAGTTGCGTTCGCGAATGAGAGATGTCGAAAAACTTTATTTTATAATAAAGAAAAAAATTACTAAAGGCAATTTTCTCAACAAAAAAAAATAGCTTATTTTTTGACAAGAAAAAAAAAATATCGGTTTGTACCCTATTTATATAGGACATTCTGTATACATACATACATATGTATGTGTTGTGTGTGTGTACATATATATAAACTTCGTATTTTGCGAGGAATATATGAAACATTATAATAAATAATTTTATATTCATACACAACTTGGAACTATACGGTAATGACTGTGGCGATGGCGTAGTAAGGGAGTACGTGCTTATATACAACAATATCAAATTCGTTCACGCAATGCACTCACCGTAGAAAATGTAGCGCACAGCGGACCAGCCTTCCCAATGTCTTCTTATTTCGCATGTCTGACGAAAAAGCAACGACATCGAGCATCCAGTTGAAAAGCAAGAAGATCAAGGACACTTGATACCCTCCTTATACGGCGCAGTACGTACCAATTAAAACAAAATGTTTTACGAAAGAGTCCGATGTGAAAAAAAGAATATAAGTCATAATTTTGCCAGTTAATAAAAGAAAAGGAATAGATGTCGGTCGATTTCAAATCTATAAGCGAATAATGTAATTTTATTAACAAAAGATGTAATTCACATAAAAGTGAGTCAATATTTTTAAGAAAGTATTTAATATTTAGTCCATATACTTTCGACTTTGATCTGTCATGTTTTAACATTTTTAACTTATATCTTTTCAAATGTCGAGTATTGATATAGAAATCCAATTCTAAGGGAGTGCACAGTAACAGGTTGTACCGCCTGACAATTCAGCTCTCGACGTTTCAGCTCAACTTTTATTTAAAAACTCTTATAATTTCAGCTTTTCTTCAATGTGCGGACTCTTCGAGTACAGGCGCGAATGCAGTTAATTCTTATCGGTAATGACTTATCGCTAGTGCATAATTAACGAGCAAGATTGGAACGATTTCACCCGAATGGGTTACGATGGTCGTCAAGCGACAACGAGGACGACAACGAGAACGACGATAAGATTCCTGACGAATTTCTCCGGTGGTTAGGTGGATTCCTTGCTTCGATTGATCGCCTTAAGCCTCGTCCAGGTCTCGCCGAGAGCTTTCGCAAAATGATCATCAACTACGCAAAGAATATATAAGACAGATTGGTCCAGTCTAGACCATCAAGGGAACTAATCCGACACAGACTGGATCCAAACAGTTTTATTTGGTCTATTTGCATATCACATATTCTTTAACTTTGACTTTTTTATGAAACATTTTTATAAAACGCGCGAAAATAATCAATTTCCTACTTATTTAATCGAATCGAGATTATAAAAATACCTTTTTGTTAAATAAGAAAAATATCACAAAAAATTGTTTAATTTCGTAGATATCTTATTCTTTTTTGTAAATCAAACGTGCCAATAGAGAATTAATGTAAAAATCGCATTTCATAAGTAATAAGCCAATAAATTGAATCCAGATAAAGTCTAGCCTGGACCATTGAAAATACCATCATCCATGGTTGACTCAAGGCTGGATTTAGAGTGTTGTATCTATCTATCTATCCTTATACTCCCTTTTCGCGTGCAGATAAATTTTTAATATATACTTACCGCTCAGGCCGGTTTCCTTGTCGGTATTAGTGGCATTAAAGACGGCCGCGTACTCTTTCGGGCCCAATGACCGCTTGAAATGCTCGTCGATCGCAGGATCGCTGACACCACCCGCCGTCCTGATGCCGGTCCTCTGTCCACTCGCCGCAGTAGGCATCGCCGTCGGCGTAGGCGTCTCCGCCGTGTCCTCGATCGTAGTGCCTAAACAAAAATACGAATCCCTTTCGTTAATTAACTCCAAATAAATAGCGTTTTTGGCAGCGGCAAGTAAAATTTATGTTACGTTGACATTACTTGCAACATTTTTACTATTTATATGTAATTATTTAATAATATATGTTCTATTATATGCATTTATATATATATATATATGTGTGTATGTGTGTATTTAATTATGTAATATTTATATGTGATTATAGTTAATACATATAAATCACACAAATTCAGAAAAAGATTTAGAATAAAAGATAAAAACCTCGCGAGAACATATAAAGAAATAATTCGGTAAATTTCAATAAAATCTTTAAATTACAGCATCTTTTTTAAAATGTATAAAAAAAATCTATTATTTCCGATATTTGAGATATAAATTCGGAGACAATATATATTAATATCATATTAATATTTATATATTAATAATATTAATTATGCATATTTTAATCATGTTTAAACTTCTTAAATAATATTTATTAATAATTTCTAACAGAGCATATGAAATATTTAAAATCAACATCTATGAATAATAGATCTATCTAGCGTCGTTATGATATAGTTCGGATTATTCGTCATCGTGTTAATTCCATTCATGACTAATACGAGGATTAATGTTTCAGGAAAGCCTGCAAGCACGAAAGAATGCTGTCGGGATTAACCGTATATTCCCATTGAAAGTGGCCTCACATCTGCACGATATTTCGGTGCAGCGGGCATTGCATTGTCATGGAACGCAGGCATCCCTATGACGACAATAGGACCTCAGGGATGCGAGATGCTTAACGACATCGTCAAAATATCCGTTGTTAGTCGGAAACAGTTCGGTAAAAATACCGGACAGCGCGAAGACAACAATAAATTTATTATTTATACGATCTATACCAATAGATTATATAATGACGATAAGGCAATAATCTTTATCGTTTGCGCAGATGATCTTTTCTTATCCTTACAATCAGAGAAATGACAGTCATATCTTTTTACAATCAATCAGATTTTTAAAAATATTCCATTTTAATAATCTCATTAATTAAATAAAATTATATTACAAATTAAAAGAAAGATTTTATTATTTATTTGCTTTCTTAATAATTAATTTAATTTTCTTCTGTAAATATTGAGTGTTGGAGTTGCTCTATAATTACATCTCGGTTTCAGCGTTAAAGCGTTTTATTCCACCTTTCTTATAAAATTGTAATAACGTTGCCAAAAGAAATTACATCAAGACTTTACCAGTGAATCTATCAACTTTCTTCAATATCGAGACTTTATATCACAATTTGAATTGAAATGTTATATATATATATATATATATTACATCGCTACCGGATGCGAGAATATTGCCGAAACTTAATTGCGAAAACTTATTGTTAGTGTAAGTCGGATTAGAAAAAGTAATGATAGTTTCACGGTCGAACCTTCATAAATCTTTCTTCTTTCGATACCTATATGGTTTTTTCTTCAGTACCGGCAAATACAATACTGAACCTTTCGGTGAGCTTTCTCTCTTTATGTTTATTTTTTATATTTTACACGGGATGTAATTTTTTGGCGTCATTTTGTTTACGTTATGAGAAAATTGAAATTTATAAAATCGCCGAAGGTCGCCCATTTCCTCGCGACGAGGTATCTAGAATTGGAAAACCGATCTAACAACAACCCTTCCCTGCAATCGATAGAGAAGAAGCAGGAAGAAAAGGAGGACGAAGGAGGAGGGTGATAAAAACGAGTCCGGTTCCCAGGATGGGCAGGAAGTGCCTAATAGTCGTGAGAGGATCGTCAGGAAGATGTTGAAACTGGTTTAGAGGCGCGTAGGGAAAAGATGAATGGACCGAAGAGATGAGCGGGGCGAGAGGGTTTCCTCCGTCTGCGAGTCGGTTGACTTCTCAATCAATCCCGCCGATAATTAACAAACGAGCATATGACTCTTGTACCTTTATCGCCAAATTATAGAATATAGCTGGCTCTATCCAGCGAATGAATCGAGATTATCAAAACTCTCCAAAATTTAACATAAGAGACAAAATAGTTGAACATTCATTCAACGTCTAAATTTATATATTATTAAATTAAAAAATGGTATCCTTGTCTTTTGTCAGTTGGAGAATTTTATAATCCAACACGAAACATTCTTTCTTTTTGGTGTGTGTAACTGATCTTTTACTAATATCTTTTTCTCTTTTAGGTGAGAAAAGCAATGCTTCTTCAGCAATGCTTACCGGATTGCGGTATGGTCGGGACAATCACACTCGGCCTGCTATGGTGATGATGCTGCCGCGCCGCCGACATATCCAACGCTTCGCTCTGAATCGGATCTTTCCTACGCTCCTTGCGCCACGCGCTGCTCGGCTTCCGATGTAGATTCGTCGTTTTCGGTCTCTCCTCTGCAACACACAAAGCACCGAAGATGCTACTGTGAATGCACATGGATTAACGACTCGATGATTGTACCAGCGATGAAGAGATGATCAAGATGGATTTTTCAAATCTTATGTTATTCCTTGAATCTTATATCGATCACACTCGGTCTGCTGTAATTTTCGTGCCACTGATATATTCACTACTCCGAATCGAATTCCTCCTACGTTCCTTGGATTCGTCTTGCTTCAAGTAATACAAGATAATTCGTAGTCGAGAGAATAGGATTATAGCACGAGACAATACGTACAATTCTAAAGCGAGGGTGTGCACGAGACGTTACGTACGATTCTAAACTTTCGAGAAACACTGACTTATTTTTTCTCCTGACACTTTGTTTCGTCTTACTGTGAAACGGAAGAGGAATGCCACGCATGCGTATTACTACAAATACAGGGTGAAAGCGAGGGTAACGACAGATGAGCTATAAGAAAACACCGGTTGTAAATATACTTGAAGGTAATAAAGAACACATATATATATATAAATCAATATAAACGTAAGAAAGAGACGAACAAACTTTATCGGCGTATCACACATCAATGATATCAACATTCGATACATTTCATATGTTAAATGAAAAGCACGATATGTATATATCTTTAAAGCAGCTTGGAGTCGCGTAAACAAAATAGATTGGTTATTTCAATACATAATAAAATGTTATATATATATATATATATATAACATCGCTACCGGATGCGAGAATATTGCCGAAACTTAATTGCGAAAACTTATTGTTAGTGTAAGTCGGATTAGAAAAAGTAATGATAGTTTCACGGTCGAACCTTCATAAATCTTTCTTCTTTCGATACCTATATGGTTTTTTCTTCAGTACCGGCAAATACAATACTGAACCTTTCGGTGAGCTTTCTCTCTTTATGTTTATTTTTTATATTTTACACGGGATGTAATTTTTTGGCGTCATTTTGTTTACGTCATGAGAAAAATGAAATTCAAAATTCTTGGCGTATCCTTGTAATAAGTTCCATTATAGATTGAAATTTATAAAATCGCCGAAGGTCGCCCATTTCCTCGCGACGAGGTATCTAGAATTGGAAAACCGATCTAACAACAACCCTTCCCTGCAATCGATAGAGAAGAAGCAGGAAGAAAAGGAGGACGAAGGAGGAGGGTGATAAAAACGAGTCCGGTTCCCAGGATGGGCAGGAAGTGCCTAATAGTCGTGAGAGGATCGTCAGGAAGATGTTGAAACTGGTTTAGAGGCGCGTAGGGAAAAGATGAATGGACCGAAGAGATGAGCGGGGCGAGAGGGTTTCCTCCGTCTGCGAGTCGGTTGACTTCTCAATCAATCCCGCCGATAATTAACAAACGAGCATATGACTCTTGTACCTTTATCGCCAAATTATAGAATATAGCTGGCTCTATCCAGCGAATGAATCGAGATTATCAAAACTCTCCAAAATTTAACATAAGAGACAAAATAGTTGAACATTCATTCAACGTCTAAATTTATATATTATTAATTGTTAGTTCTTTTAAAATTATACTGTACATCAAATCTCTTCGCTAGAGACCCGATTAGTCCTGAACGCGGCAAAGAAACATCTCTAATTTATTATTGAACTCAATTTTAAACTTTCTGGGATTATGTTTCTTTTAATTTGCATCATTTTCTAGACTTTTTCAGAGTTCTCTTTTATTTTCTATCGCGTTCTATAGAGTAACATACCTTCCGATTTGCAAATCAGTCGAAGACTGTCGATGTTACGCCACGGTTGCCAGAGGCGCCGTCTCTTGGATGAAATCTCCATGTTATCGGCCTTGAGAGCATTAATTGCAAAAGCGAGTCAAATTAAGGGGACCGCCTTTCCTTACGAGAGATCGAAAGTGATTGATCTTCCGACGAGCAGAGTCACCGTGAAAGTTTATTGTTCTTCGGACGTATTGTACGGAGTTATATTCTTTCCTCGAATCGAGATTTCGGTTTATTCGGAGAAGCTTCTTCAAAACAGCTTTTTTTATACTCTTCAAAATTTTTCGATAAAGTTACAACAGTTTTTAGAATAATTTTTACTTAAATTTGATGTATAAAAAGTGTAGCAAAAAAATAACTTTTAATTAAAACTTTTTAGAAGACATATCGCTTGACGTATTTTTCGAAGCACTTTGTCACTTTCATCTTCGAGATGAAAAAAAATTACGATACAATTTCCACATTAAAAATCCCATTCTTAAATAAATTCGTTTGTGCACTGATCACTTTTTCCTTTTTTTCCAAAATTTTTACAAACTCAAAGTATCACGCAAAGTATCTTTGTTCTTGAAGACGGCCAATCACGACGATCACAGAATGGTCGAAGCGGTGCAAAACGATCAAAATATCAAAGAAAAGATCACGTGAAGAGTTGAGAATAATTGGAAGTAAGAAGAAAGCAACAGGCAAAATCAGAGAAACGAAGAAAAAGGCGAGGATTATATATATATTGGGAGTACGAGATAAAACGCGAAAAAGCCACAAAACGCAGGAGCTCCGAGAGAGTGAGACGCGCATTCGCGGAGAGAAGCTGCGAGAAAGAGGTTCACAATCGAGGAGTGCAATCACGAAGTGCGCACAATGCCCAGGACCACGACAACGGCGACGATGAGGAGAAGCCGCGAAGTCCTTCAAAACGCGCGTCCCTCTCAAAGGCACGCTCGCGGTTTCGTGGATGCGTCTCTCTCATGACTGTCTTAAGATTCATTCATTCATCCACCGCCGCCTCCTCGGTTCGTCGTTCACCGCATTCTCCCCTCTCGCCATCCACGTGGAACCGAAGGAGGTTGCTTTTTACGCATACAAATACTCTGACTCGCGTATATACATGTACAAATGTATAGCGGGGGTATCTTGCACGGATACATCGCGAATTTAAGTGTGTATTTGTAAGGTGGATACTACGAACGAGCGCGCAAAACCAACTCGATTCTCTTGTTGCTTTCTCTCTCGGCCTCTCTATCTTTTTCTTTCTCTCTCGTGCAGCATACTGGGTGTGCCGAGATCAAAAGATTCGCACATTAACATCCATTGATTATTTAAGAGATCTGATAAAATGATAAAAATATACTAAAAACACTCGAAATCCATCCTGTTTACGATATTTATATCTCTAACACATTTTTAGGCGAGTCAAATGTAAAAATAAAAAATACTGTGGTGCGATTAATAAGTAAAAAAAATTCTAAAATGTTATCGCACACATAATATTGCAGATATGTAATTGTTTTAAAAAACAATTAAAATATGATTTTATTAAGAAGATCGAATCCTTAAGTCGAAGACCACATGGATGATAGAACGAGCAATTTTGTACGACCCTTTATATACACGGAGATATACGATAGAAAACCGGCGCATCGATGCGATGCACGCACGAATGCGTGATAACGGCGGAGAGAGTTTATTTTAATTCACTCGATATCCATGTACTATCATTATCGCACATCGACTTTGTCGCCAAGTCCGCGACTTTCGCAAAGTTGCTTACTTTTCACATAATTTTTTTAACGATAACAGGGCACTGTATACAAAATAAATTATAAAAAATATAAAAAAATTTTATGAGGAAGGAGAGAGAGAGAGAGAGAAAGAGAGAGAGATCGGATAATATCGCATGATTCATACATTAAATTATATTATTAGACAGAAATATAAGAGAATATGTGTGACATGCAACTTAACATTTATTCATTCGTATGGAAGGTCTACTTAATTTGTATCATAAATAAAGTCATTATTTTATTCATTCGATCTATTATTCGAAACAAAAGTATAAAGTGCAATAGAGAATTTAAGCAGCCGATGCATATTTTGTTTGAAACCTTCTGATAAAATGTATCGATGTAAGCAGAGGACGGACGGACTCACTCCGTCGAAGAATAAAAATTCAAGATCAGCAAATGCGCATTCACGCGCGGAGCTGAACACGTGTATTTAATCTGCAATACGCAGAATCGCACGATTATAAACGACGACTATGCGGAACCGTTGTTACAACATTTCGAGGTATTATTCAACAAGCATAAATGGAATCAGAATTCGAATTACACGATCGTCTTGTGATGACAAACGGCAGACCAATAACTATCTTATTAATATTTATAATATTAATTACATATATCATTATATAATTAATACTAATTATGATATATGTTTCTTTTTCAGGCTACATAAATTTTATTAAAAAATTGTACTGCTAATTAGCAGAGAAATGTAATAATCTATATAATTTCGAATCTGGCAAAATATATTTCAGATACACATTATTTACTTTTCAAAGTATAGTATCAATTAGAGATTGAAGATACATATTTCAAACATTTTATTGTATAACTTAAATATATTCGTATATATATTCGTTATTGTACTTCTTATTTTAGCAATCGCGCAAAAGCGTTCGAATCATTCTGCAAAGACGATTTCGTAAGGGGACTGACTGAATACAAAGCGAAGAATGCGATTGCTCACCCGCGATCGTATGATCGATTCCGTATAAATACGATTGCGGATTGGATTGTAACCGAGATAGTAACAGTATGTTACAATCGCAAATTTTTTTTATGTCAAGTAATGGCATATTGCATTATGACTAGGCACCTGCGATAATAATAGGCGATACCTATGGCGATTCGCCGCAACTTGCATACAAACGAGTCTGGTTAACGCCATCGTGCACGCGCGCAAAATATAGAATGACTATTAAACGAATTATGCGAGGAATGTCGACAGCATGTCAAGTAGTCGTTGCTGTTTTTAAAGTCTGTGCATTTCACGCGAATAACTTGATCGCGTTACATCGCGCTAAACCGCATATCCATCATAAGTATATCATTTACATATAATTTGAAATTTTATGGAAAAGACAAAAGGAAAGATCGGAGCAATCTTTTTGAGAAAATAAGCATGACAGAATTAAAAGAAATGGACTTCATTATAAATTAGAAACGTTTTGATTTTCCATTTTTAAATAAAGCGCAGCCAAATAAAGCACAGAAATTTTCGGATTGGGAAATTGGAAAATGATATATTGATACTTGATATATTGATATATTAATACTTTATACTTAATGGATATGCGCATTTTATTTTATAGCGCAGGTTACTTTATTTGTCTTAAAGACAATCATTATATAATAAAAAAACACAAGTTTTTTCAAATTTGTTTTTAATATTCTAAGAATGAGTTTAATATATTAATTACAAATTATCCGCGTTGTAATATTATATAGCATGTCTCTTATGTCATCTGTAAATGTGAAATAATTTCTCTCTCTTGTGTAATTGAAATAAATTATAATATAAAATAGAATAATATAGGAATTATTAACTTTAATATTTTAATTTAATTATTATTATATTCGCTTTAAAATTTTAAAGTTTAAGGACAATAAATGGAGTGAAATACGATCAACTTTTTTATAATCACGTATTGCAAATATTAAACTAGATTAAAATAAGAGTAATTTCGTCTCTCGACGGCCAAGGACACTTCAACAAGAAGACACGTTATTAGAAATTCTGATCGCCCTAAGGTTCGCGCGAATCGCAAAATATTCCAAAAAGTATAAACTGACCTTGCACCATCGTCGCCGCTCTGGAGAGGACGTCCAAGGCACTCTCGACAGCGGACATATCTTCCCTCCTCCTTCGTTTCGTCTGTTCCAACTTCTTCCTTCTTTCCTCTCCTCCTTCTTCTCCTTCTCCTCTCGGGTGTCACCCCCGCACGAAATTCGCGTGTACCCTGACAGCGGTTCGCGAATTCTCACTTTGCTCCACTGCGTAGAGTTGCTTCCTTCGTCGCTGTCTTCGCGGCAAGGATACGTCGTCCTTGTCCTCGTCTGCTTCCACGTCGCGAAAGAAGGCGCTCTCTGTATAGGGACAGAAGTCGAACTATAACTGTTTGGGGCCTTCCTCGTGACCGCGAAGGCGGCGCAAATAAAGTAAAACGGGGATTAAAAAACGTGACATTGTCTGTGGAATGCGGACTCCTCACCGCCAACACCTCTCCTCCTCTCGTGGGACTCCCCACCCCCGCAATGCTCTTTCTCTCTCTCTCTCTCTCTCTCTCTCTCCTTCTTACGCGGGATCTCTCTTCTCGCGTGCCACGTACTTAGCGGCAGGATCGACACGTTCGCGCAAAATAGAATCAATCAAATATCGATTGATAATCGTTTTAATTAAATATATGGTGTTATAATGACATTTCTAATGATATATTCCTTGACCACTTAAGAATCGATTTTTCTTTAGCGATTATTAAATAATGCAATTGATACTGATAGTTCATTCTTTTTTTTATATTAAGTCTCCTGATATCAAGTCCCTAATTAATTGCATTCTTTTTTTATTGTTATTTTCTTAATTATTAACGCTTAAAACGTTTAAAAAATATTTAGAAGATTGCTACAGATGTTTATAATGAAAAATATTTAGAAACTTTCTACTGGCAAATTATGATCATTTTCGAATTTATTTTCCATTTGTTGCTCGAGATTTTTAGTCAAACTTTACTGATATACATTTCTTATATGCTTATACATTCTTTTCAAGTTACAAACATTTGACAGTTCTACATTAATGAAAAAAAGCCAACGTCTAAATAACTCGACAAATATGCAAATATTATCTGATATTCTTCTGAAAAATGCAAAGATATAAATATAGAAAATAGTATAGAATAGAAATGGCAGTGTTAGTGTACATCACTTAAATATTAAAACACGGTATATTATCGTTATTACTGTTATAAAATATGCATGTAATAAACAATAAACATTTACGTGTGTTTCACGATTTCTCATTAATATACAATTTTCAATGAAATTCGGAAAGAATGCATTTGCATCGTTATAATTAGCATAATGAATTAGTAAAATTTGATTAAATTATATATTTTAGGAAACACTTTGTATGCGATATGTAATTTACATCAATATTACAATCTCTAGATTAAGATTTCTACTGATTTTTTTAGATTCCTATACACACGTATATAAACTTCGAAAACATAATACTTTTAATAATTTATGAATTTCGTTTTCTGAAATCTTTTTTGATGTAAAACAAAAAAGAAGTCTAGTATATAGTCATTTCCGATGTTCGCTTTTATTTTAAACAGAGAAATAGTTCGGATTTTCGGATTTGTGAGAAGGAAAAGAGAATTGTTGATTGCTAGTTCGAGCCCCTCGCTACTTGTATCACGGCCTCTCTCATTCCTTACCATCCTCCTCGCATGCTTTTCCCACTTCTCGCAACACTACCGTACGGTCGACATCACGATTCTATCATAACAATATAAACAACCTTTTATCCGCCTCCCTTCCGCTCCATACATTACTCTCTTTTCGGTATTTTAGCCTTTTCTTCTTGTTCTTTCCAAAGAACCGTGCATTTTGTGCAAACTGATAGAAATGAAACAATTTCATTTTCCCTTTCTTATTCCTTTAATTCGTTAAAATATATTTTTAATTTCCGACTAAGAAATAAAGTGCGTAATTCCATTAATAGAATAAAAAGATCGTAATAAGGAAATAAAAGCAAATTTTTAAAATATCCAGCATTAAAAGAAATATTAACATTTGATATTTAAAGATTATAAATTCCCAACTCGAGAATTATTAATTATTATTTTGCTTGCCAACTATTATTTTACTGATTTATGTTAATTATTAATTATTATCAACTTTTACAAATCTAAATTGTGTAAATTATTAGTGCCAACTTCTTCAAGTTTGCCATCTCTTCAAAAGAATTCTACGAGACACCGCCCGATTCCGCGCGTGTCGTATGTTTGTGGAGTTCCTCGCGTGATAAAACAACGAGATAAGGTTGAGGATGAATCTGGTTTTTACAAAGGCGTGCCGTTCCTCGGCCGTGCCCCTTCCTCCCGTTTCTTTTTTTACGAGTAACGCATAGTGTAAACGTTTTATGAATCACGCGTCGTCTCAGCTGCCGTGCTATTTAAACGAAAGGATGGCCTAAATAAAGTGTATCGCGTGCATGCAAAAATCGCATGTATGTAACGTCATTTATACGAAATGACGTTGCATACATGCGATTTATAACCGCATTTATAAACACGAATTGATGTAAGAGAGATCGGAATTCAGGCACGTAAAACTTTTAAAATTCTAAATACGCAAAATTTACAATTTCGATACATAACGTTTTAAACATTTTACTTTATCCTTCTCAATTTTTCCGATCTCATTTATTCAGGAAAAAATTTTATTTTTTTAATATATTATTTTGTAATTCTCTGTGATTATATTTTTGAAATTTATGGAGATTTTCTTTCAATTACATTCTCTTTGTCGTGAAAATAACTGATTTTAATACTTATATTATCTCTGATCTCTAGTATTATGTGCATTCTGCAATTTATAACAATTAGTACAAGCTAAATAAAAATCACAGAAAAGAAATGAAAATCATGTTTAAATTAGAAATATATAAATAAATATTAAAAATTATATTTATGAAAAAGATATATAAATTTGGGGATAAAATTAGATAAAATTTAAACTGTTAAAAGTATATTTATACTAAAATATATAGAATATAAAAGAAAAACTTGAGTTTTCTCTCTATTCTCGCGCAGATCTAAGTTATGACCGTAAAAATTTAAATTGTATATTTAATTTAATTTAATTAGCCAGAACGTGTGTTAAATTAACGGCGTGTGTGAGCCACAGAGAGAACGGTGAATCTTCGCGCCTTCGACTAACATCACGCACGCCACTCTAATCACTCGATCGGCGAATTCCCACGCGACGTGTTATCTCGGCCGAAGATTCGATCGAATAAATACATAGGGTGTCTAAGCATTAGTATCTCTATAAAACACTAGAAGAAATGCTATCAATATCGAAACGTTTATATAGCTTTCAAATTTCATGAACGCAAACACTGGACCCGCTTATACAATATATGGCAAATACTTTTTTCTATTTAATTATAAATAAGCTTATTTAATAAAAGTTATATTAATACGATTCTAAATTTAGAATTACAAAGCTATAATGCAATATTAAGCAGCTATTTAACACCGCTAATATAAGGATACATGTATAATTTATTTTTAGCGATTGAAAGACACTTATCTTTTTCGGATTGTGTTTTTGATTCGACGATTAATAATAATTTAATTGAATTCATTAATATTAAAAATCATAAACTCTTGCAATATAAGACCTTACAAAGTTTCCGCTAAAGAAAAATTGATTCCAAATTCATGGATTCATAATCTGTAACTGTGCACACACCCTGTATATATGCGTACATATATATACGCACTGAATAGCACGTGGTATGCGGGCGATTATACACGCGACTGCGGAGCTCGAGAACGCCAGAACTCGAAACCGCCGATCGAGATTCCTCGTCGAACATTCTCGTTGACGAATCCGCGAAAAAAAATTGATTCGAGTGAGAATTATCTAAAATTTCAATACTCTATCTATACATTTAAATCCGCTATCTTAATTATTCCTTTGATTTGTTTGCGACATTTTAAATATAATTTTCATTAACTTTAATTTTTATTTTTAAGTATTTATCTTAAATAAAACAAAAATGTGTGTGTAAATACAGTTATATACAACATATAATTTATACAAATAAATGTACATTTTATTCGAAGTATATCTAAAAAAAGTAAAAAAAAATGAATATAATAAAAACATAATATTTCACAATCACAAATATTTTCTGCACAAATATTCGTTAAAAAAACGACGAAAGATTTCTTTCCAGATTACACAAATCTCAATTTGTAAACTTTAAGATTAATAAATCGGGACTGTTATCCAACATATAATATGATAACAACATTGCGATAAATGAACTGTCATCATGACCTCATGTGTTAAGAATTATAATTTTATTACGACAGGGGGGACAAAAAGATTACAATAAAACTTCAAAAATTTTGATTATCGTACACCTGCAAAAGAAAATCCTCAGAACACAAAGAAATATACTGAACAGCTGCAAGGAAATTCAAACACAAAGAAATAGTCAGGGTCCTTCTATATAAATTCCTAAAGAGATCCATTTGGCTGTTCGCGTAAAATCAGTATTCCAATGTAATAACGATCGCTTTTCCCCAAACAAAGATCAGTATAATCATCCGAGAAAAGTTCGACGCACTCGATGGAATTCCAAACGCGAGCATGTTCCGCCGAACTTTTACACGCCGCATATGAAACGTCAAATATCACTTTTCTCTGATTTGCTCGAATATATTCGGATGTTATAATTTTATTACAGAACGTAAAAATACAATAAAAACTATATAATATAAGAAAGTGAATATATAAAATTACATATATGTACAACATAAAGAGCGTATTTTATTTCCATTGTTATTAAAAATAGAATAATGTTTTGAAAAATTTGACGTAATTATATGTATGGTCAATTTTCTACAAAAATATCCGACAGATTAATAATAAAAAAAACATTTACGCTAATTTTTGGGGGAAAGAATAAAAATATCAGTCCCGCAAATTTAATCCTTTATATAGATTTCTCCGCGTCGCGTGTACTTTCTACACTTTACGCATTCAAAACGGAGTTGACGCAACACGCTCGTTTTCGAATGGAAATGAAACGAGATATAATATTAAATAAAAAAGTCTAGAAAAATATAAAAAAATATGCAAACGCGAGATAAATTGTATCAAATGCAAATGATCGTGAACAAACGTAAAAATTATTTTCGCGCAAGAAATCCGATCTCGTTCAAACGATACCGGTTTCGACGAGTTTCGTTCAAACTCCGCTTCGAATTCGTCGAACGTGCAGATAAGACGAGCTCGCGAATTCCGCGGTAAATTCCAACGTTGCGGAATGCACTTCTCCCCGAAAAATACAAACGTCGTAAACCATTTTGAAACGCTGATACTCCCTTCTCGTGCGAATAACAACGCCGTGGAATTTGGTATATCTTACGCCGGATATGTGCCGAGTCTTGCATTTCTCTTTATGTATCGACTTGCAATATGTGATATGGTTTTTTTGAAACAAACGATTATTCTCGTCGACGTCAATGATTCTCGAGCGTCAATCATGCAAAACGCGATTTTGCCACAAAAACTCTAAAAGCGAGCGAAATGTCAACTCGCACGCTCGTCGGGGTCTCGGAATTATTTTCTTACGACACGATGATTTTTTTCGAAGGACAAAAAGTGTGCGTGCGCGAAATCGGTAAATACATATATATATATATATACCTGCTGTGAAATTCCTTGACAAACACGATGACGAAGAGACGGGCGCTCTGTCGGCTCTCTCGCGCGCTTTGTCGGTGATTTCGAAAACAGCCAACTTCATGCAATCGCGCGCCGACTTTTCGAATTTTCGCTCGCCGGGAATTGATCGCCGACTATATTATTCGAACGTCGCGAGTAAAATATCTATCGTGAGAAGTCGACAAGGACAATGACGACGACGACGGACGCTTCGAGAGCGCTACTCCGCGCGGGTCGTCGGCGCCGCCGCGCGGCGCGTCTCTCGACGTTCGCGAGGAATCAATAGAGGAATCCGGCATAGCGTAAAAGAATAAAAAAAAAGAGGGGAAAAAAATAACGAGAAAGAGAGAGAGAGAGAAAAATGTGCGCATTCTTCGGAAGATTCGCGCCGACACGTCGTGTCTCGTCGTATCGCTTTATTTGACGTGTGTATATATTCACGTACGTACGTACGTACATATACGTATGTTTGTGTTATGCTTTACTCACCCGTGGACACACTCGTCGCACTGCACTGCGAAGGCTCGTGCGATTCTCACGTCGTGACACTCCTACGCCGTGTGTTGACACTCGGTCAAACGTGACGTCGATAGCTCGACACCCTCGTCGCCGGCGCGTCGTACCGCCAGCGAGGACGCGTTTTCATCGAAAACGACGAAAATCTAATGGCATGCGGGCGGGTGGACGCGCGCGGCCCGTTTGACACCGACAGGCAGGCCTCGGCTGTCCACCCCCCTAACCCCTCCGTCTCTCGTCGCGCTCGAGCATTACGCTGGAATGCGCGGTATGCGGCGCGATCGTCGCGTCCTGACGGCAAAACCGCCAACTGACGCCCGCTGCGCGTCGCGGTATTGTAAATACGCCAACGAGAGTCTTGTCGCCAACAACGAACATCACCTGGCGATTATACGCGGAGTATTGATATCTTGCGACGAACGTATAATGTATATATATATATATATATATATATACATTATACGTTCGTCGCAAGATATCAATACTCCGCGTATAATCGCCAGGTGATGTTCGTTGTTGGCGACAAGACTCTCGTTGGATATATATGATTAAAGATGTAGATATGTGTATATACTTTGCTCTGTTTGACTTGGCCTGTTAAAACTTGAAAACTTTGAATCGTATCGCTTAACGCTTACATTGTTCTATATTTTATTTTTAGCAATATTTATACATACGTGAGAAAACGCGCGCGAGATGTACGGGTGTATTATGTTGTACATTCACATGTGTAAACATACACACACACAAACTCGCGTGTATACTTGACGATAAAAAAGTCATCTATATTATTTTGATTTAATAATATAAATATAAAAATACATAAAATTATAATTAAGGAACATATAATTAAGACTTCGTTTCTAACTTTGCTTTTTTTGCCAAAAATGGCAATGTCCTACTTTTCTTCTCGTTGTCTTAGTCGTACACGAAAAAATGCGGTCATTCTACTTATAGGGGCGGTATAAGCCAATAATATATACAACAGAGATTATTCATGCATATAAATTAGAGTTATATTACATATATACTTTCGGAATCGATAATACTTAATTATGTCGAGATATGACATGAAAAAATTTTTCTCTTTGTAATCATTATTTTTATAATTAAAAGTAAAAAGACATATAATGAATAAATTGAATTTTACGTAAAATTTTCTTTCATAAACCCTTTTATCTAAAAAGAGATATGATAACAGACTATCTGTATAGTTGCAGACTTCGATACGAAATCGGAGTTTTTGTGAAGACCTTAATAGATAAGTAAATTCTTCATCATCGCAGAAAATGCGACAATTTCTGGTCTTATCACTATCCTTCTTATCTAAGAGAAGATACATGTGCGATATATATACATTATAAAATTACCTCTTTAATAATTTATAGTACAAAGGATATTTTTTTTTATTAAAACTCAGTTATTTCAGTTTTTATATATAATATCCAATCAATCGAAATAAAAAGAAAAAAAGGAAACGCGTTAAAAATTATATTCATTATGTTTTCTTGAGTAAACAGTCCCTTGATTACAATTGCAACGGAAAGATAATACATGATACGATACAATAGAAAAATATGATAAAATAGCTGATTTTCCGGAGGAGAAAGAATGTTTATACAAAAAAATTAAGAATATTTTCGAACTTTACTATAAATGCCACTTTTACAAAAGCGAATGCTCACAGGTACATCTTCTTAGTAACAATGACATAAAAATACAACATAGAAAAATCAATGTATGAGAAATATTTTATAAAACGATGATAAAACGAGTAACATTGATTAAAAATTACGATGGTTATTCTCTAACCTAACACATTAGCAACAGTCTGAGAATTATGTTATTACATATACAATTTTTATCCTCATTATAATCAAAATAAATCTCTCTTGTACATATAAAAAAAAATTACGTTATAAAAATAAATTTAAAAAAACTAGAATTAGAAGAGTTTGCACTTAATATATTATAAACATTATAACTAAACAACATAAAAACTACGATATAAAGAAAATTTGAAAAGAAATCAATATATTAATAAAATACATAAAACCATGTATCACACACGCTTATATTCACACAAATATGCATAATGCGTTAATTATAAATAAAATGCAAAGCTGAAAAACAGAAAACTTTCTTTGTTCACAATATATTTTTCTTATGTAACTAATTGTTAACAATTTTTGTGTTTAAAGCTTTTGATTTTACAGAATGTGTGTTACTTTGATTAAATCCTTTGGATATATCTTTCTTTACACTTTTTGTAGGTATATATAAATGTCATATATTAGTTTTATGTATAAACAGTGCAAATAGTTTAATCTAAAACTCGTGTTTTATGTGAATTTTCCCACTTTACTTATATTGTTTAAACTGCAGTTTTTAATGCCTCCTCATCTTCGCTTGAAGTGTCCATTGTAAAACATAACTGGAAATTAAAAGATGTATATGATAATATAAAATCAAACATAAAAAATTAATATTTAGAATTTTAATCTAAAGTAGTACAAATATAAATATTATAATTTTTACCAGATTATAAACCATGATTAAAAAAAATTTTAAAGCCAGTTTATACAAAGGAACAATTCGAAATATTTTATATTTATTCTTTTATAATGATATGTATTTAAGATGTTAATGCTTAATCGATACATACCTCATCCAAATCTGGTCTTTTCAGTATTTCTTCGAGTCCTGATAATTTTTCGAGATAGTTTGGCACATTGCAAGCGTCGAGTACGAAAGCAAAACCACGTTGGCAATATTCTTTAATCAAAGGTATAGAACAAGCCGTACAGAATGGAAATCTGTGTGTAATCGTCAGTTTCATTTCGTGGCTCCAAAGTGAACCCCGTATTGTGTGAGGTATACCACCTAATAATCCTATTAACGGATCATCTATGTTTGCTTGACAATCATCGTTGTCGTTATTCATAAGCGCTCTAGCTGAAATTCTTGAAATTACATAAAAGTAGATGAATATAAATCAGATCTATATGTAAAAGATAAAAATAGATTAAATGTTATTAGAATAATTTTAAGTAAACGAAATTCGTATGTAGTTTACTTTTGCGGATGTTGTGTTATTGCCACAAGTAATTCAACTGCTAAACCTGCGGCGATTTGCGATAAACCTGGCCGACTGACGGTACATTGTTGATCGAGTGTTCTGTCCGTTTGTGACTAGAATGAGAATAAAAAATATCATTGAATTAAAACATCATATGTTTTAAATTAGTATATGTATATCAAAACCTGATATGAGATATATCTAAAATAAAGCAAACACGCTTACGTTTCCGGGTTGGGTTACATCATTACAAAAATAACACCCAAGATCTTCTCCTGCAGGATTCTGTACTGTTAGATTAGGTGCGACAAAATCAGAAAGATTACGTGTACCGTACCGTTGTACTGTATACGAATCAAAGCCTAAAGCAGCGTTAATGGCTATTTTATTCATTGTGGCACACAAGAGGGTTGGTAGCCATCTGGCTTCGCGCGAGTCCAATAACAAGAACACCACATCGTGACTGCTTACGAGTTCATGCAATTTGCTCACTGCTTCCTTGGTCGTTTCCATCATGCTTTGGCCGACAACGTGACCAGGCATAGGAATATACAAAACCACACCTTCCACATTCTAATGGATTAAAATTAACAATTAAGCTTCTCAATCAAATATACATATAAATGATATATGTATTACATCATGTATGTTATATATTATATGTACATTAAAATTATATCTCATATATTATATTTATATTTTAATAGATTTGAAAAGTAATCATTTTTGAAAAAGTTACAAGAGATCATTATTATTATGGAATTATTTTTGTACAAATATTTTCTTCATTGAAGAATTACTATATGAAAACATAATTTTGATAGAAAAAAAGTAACTTGCCATGTTAGGACGTATTCTGAGTAAAGCATCTTTCGCAGCATGCGCTTTATATCGATGTTTCACTGCATCTTCATGTGTATATAGACTCTGGCGCACTGTATTACTGTGAGAAACATTAGAATAATCTACGACTGTCATATTATTAATACCCCAACCAAGGAGTACTCTCGCCACAGAACATCCTAATGTACCAGCACCCAACAGAAGGCATCGTAGACCACTGATCTTTTCCAAATCTAGATCAGGGACAAGACGCCATTTCATCAGTTTCAAATTTAAATTGATCGCTTCGTCCAATAATCTAATGTAACATGTAAACATAAATGATAATCGTGAACTTTTATGTATAGAAATCAATGTTGCTTAATTCAAGAAGGTCAAAGAATTCTTACTTGGTAGGATTCATGGTGCTGGATAAATCCGCGATATTAGGACCCATTTTTCCATTCACATTAGCTTCCCAACCTACTAAATGATCTTCAGAAATAGCTTTCCTTATACTTTCCACATCTCTATCTTCTTTGATTTTAAGTGTGAATACAACTGCAGTTTGCATTTTATCACTCCTTATAGATAAGACTTTGATGTTGTGTTTTGAACAATATGTAGGGCAATGCCACAGTAATAGGCACAGAAGATTTCGCAAGGGCCATCCAGGTTCTGCACTTGCACAAGGATCATAAAATGCAAAGTATACTTTATTTCTCACCTGATAATATTAAAGGCAAATTTAATTCGTTATTAGAAAGTTATAAATAGTATATGTTTCATTCAATGCCATAAATATAAATAAAAGATAATAAGAAAATATAAGTTCATGAAACTATACCTGTTTCGAATCTCCATTGCTATTAAAGTTTAATTTTACATATTCCACTCCTTTCAACAAGTTATAAACATTTAAATCATCCTTTCCGGATACAAAAACTGTGAAAAAGTTCCTTGATTTTGCATCCAACTGAAGGAAGCTTGTTTGTAATTTATCTATTTGACTAGTTGTAAATTCACTGTCAAATGATTTTGAGGGTTCAACCAAACAAATTTCTGGCAATGTGAAAGGAGTTGGATGCGCAGCCCAATAATAAAATCGATACTTTTTCAAATCTGAATATGCAAACACGAAAAATACTGAGAGCCGCCAAGACTCTTGCAAAGCTGTGCCATCTCTAATACTATCGATAATGCATTTGCCCATAGTATCGATAAACTTTTCATGATTTATCTGTCTAAATGTTTCATAGGTATTTGTATTAATCATATAGCCATAGCAAGCTACTCCCGCATTGTGAGAAGTTGTATCCAAATCTCTGAAATTCATCTAAATGAAATCTATTCTATTATATTGATATGCAATTTATATATTATTGTTAATGGCTAATGTTAATGCAGATACAAATTATATTGCAAAATATATTTAAAAGAAAATTATAATCTCTTTTTTGTTAAAAAAAATGAGAAACTCTTCTTATATTTGTGTAATACTTACTCATTAAATGATGTACAATCAAGTGTTAATGGATTAGTTCTTCCCTCATTCATTGATTGAAGAAAGAAACTTCCCCATAAATGTATCTTGGACTTCTCGTCTAATTTCAATTTGTCTATTTTCAATTCTGTAAATTTTGCCCAAAATGATGAGTCCATCGCTGTTTTCAGCTTTGTAAATTTTACCCTTTGTGATGTCATCTTTGGTATTTAATGATTTATTTTAGTCTGAAAATTAAAAACTTATATAATAAGTACAGTTCACTATAAATAAAGTAAAAATAAACACAGTATAAGTGTATTTTTTCGTCATAATAAAAATAAATAAAATTCGTCATAAATAAGATTAATATTAATTATACGATGACACATCGAAAAATTTCTTAAATTGTCAATTGCGTTAAAAAATGTAGCGAACCTTAAATGTTTTGATAGCGCAATTCACACATGCAAAGTTCCAAAGTTTATCTCTTGTAACTACGAATTGACATCAATAAAAACACGCGAACATAACAACGTGCATTTTCTCTGATTTTCTCATAAACTTTCTTCTTTACCATTAAACATGCTTTCTTTTTCGCATTTGTTTTCAGTATAATCGTATGAGAATAATCATGATGTTCATGGTTTACAAATTTACATCATGAGAATAATGAGATCAGTGTTGATTGCTTTATACTTTATACAGAAAGAATCCTGAGGCCTGAGAGCGGTCATCCCCCCGATTTAGCTGCAACCCAAATTCAAAACGCCTCTATGTGCACAAAACGTGCACATTGAACTACATAGCCATGTGCATGATACTTCCCAGTGGGTAATACGCTATGTGCACGGGTTTTGGTTCCATTCCGTGCTATGTGCACGTCAATAGAATTGTCCGACAAATGTATCGATCCGATGCAGTTGACGAATATAGTATAATGATTTCTCGCTATTTTGCTAATTTCTTATTTATTTGTTATAATATTAAAAAATAAAAAAGTTATTTTTTATTTTTATTAACTAATACATATATTATTTGTTTCAAATTAATCTTTTCATCCATCTCGCGTATAAAAAAAAAAAAAAAAAATTTTAAGTGATTAAAAAGTACTATAACAAACTTTATATTTAAAAAATATATCATATATATAATAATAATTATATATATTTAACTTTATGTATACATATATGGGTGATTCTACGTCAAATCAGATAAAAAATCGACCTTTTTTGATCTTGTATTTTTTAAATCGACCGAAATATTTTTTTTTTGCAAAAGTTATAAACAAAATAAAATTTTCATGAAAAATGAAGATGTTAACTTAAAAAATTAATATCTATGGTTATATTTGTCGTAAAGATTTAAAAAAAAATGCATTTTAAAGCTAAGAAGACAATCATTTTTATAAAAATAATTGTAAATTTTACCCTTTGTAATGTCATGGTATATATGCCGAGTGACGTTTTCAAACGCAGCCCTGTTGCATAAAGAACACACATTCGCAATATTTATTTGTGAAACTTCATGTATTCCGTCATAAATTCAGAAGCTTTCTCGGCAAAAATTCGAATAAATATCTTATTAATATTATTATTATTATAATAATGATACTTATTGATTTAATTTTTCGAAGAAAAAATTTATTTTTTAATGTTTTATCTCAATAGCAAGTTTAATGCTCTTTATATAATGATTGTAAATTTTTCATTAAAGAATAAATTTTTAATTATACTTGAATGCTTACATCAGAACATTTAATTTATATAAATAAGAATGAGAAAATATATATATAATTGTAAAATTAGAGCAAAAAAACAAAAAGAATAATGAAACAAAATTCTTTCAAAGAATAATTGAAAATGATGTTTTTCGCAAGTTTTCACAAAATTATCTTTGTCTTTAATAATATCTCTTATCGCGAAATTTCAAAATGAAAAAATATAACGTATCAGATATGAAAAGAAAGATATACATATAAAAGCTAGACGTTCATATACTTACACAAACATCAGCTGGTTACATAAAGAAGATTCGCTAGATTTATCTGTGAAACTTCATGTATTGTGTCATAAATTCAGAAGTTTTTTCGGCAAAAATTCGAATAGATGATCTTATATTAATGTTAATCTTGCGGATTCACACGCGAATTTTTTCGCGCAGTCTCGGTACCGTTCGCAATAATTGGAAGCATTATGTACATTTATGTTGTCAAGACGACATCAATTTCTTCGCTCTTTAGTACGTGTACTTGCCCGATGTATTTATCCTCGTCCTGACAACAATCGTCGAAGAAAAATCACGTTCCTACGTAAAAAAATGTCTTTGTATTCGACACCTATCCTGTATTTAAATATGGGCGGTGAAATGCTATACATTTTGCGACAGAGGTTGAAGGCGCAAAAAATCGACGCCAACAAAACAATACAAGGCGAGGACGAGCACGCTTAAAATATTTCGAATATATCTCATAAATACTTTGTTTGCACATATACTTTTAAATAATTTATGTACCTTAACAACACATATATCCTCTGGATGTCTTCTGGACATGTGTGTTGTTAGGGTAGTGATAATTTTTTTATGATAAGTATCTTATAAAAATCTTTCACAAAACTGTATCATACATGTATTTATTTGTATATCATTTTTTAACTTTTTTAAATATTTTAAAATAAGTGTGTAAAATTAAAATCTTGTTAAGATTTACTACTCTTTTTATTTAAACTTTTGAAAGTTAATTATAATAAAAATGTTTATATATATGTATTATTATTCTATAGGAAGAGAGAGAGATTTTAATGTTAAGTTTGATGAATATTTACTAATCTTTTTATATGCTCTTCATTCATCATTTTAATGTATAGCAGCATTAAAAATTTAAGATTTTATGAATATTAATGTTTTGCCAAAACGTGAAATTAATTACAGTATTGGACGATGTAACCGCCGCTTTATTCAATCCTAAGATATTATCGTCGATATTCATGGAGTCGCCGATGATCGGTGTATCACACTTACGCACCACCTTGGAGAATGTCGTTCTCTCGTCCATCATGAAGCTAGATAGAAGTAGTATGGACAAACTATTCGATCTGATGATTATGATGGTCAAGTATCAATTAAAGGCGGCCACTGGACCAAGGGAGGTCATTCTCATTATTCTGAATCACATAGACGCGATACGCGATATGGTCAGCGACACGAATGCGCAAAAATGCGTCACCCTGGTGCAGGAGATGGTCATTGACGTGAGTATAATATCTTAGTTTAACGGGATATACGGGAACCAATGATGAACTAATCCATTTCTTCTTCAACGGGTAGTTCTACGGCTGTCTGACTTTTGAAGAGGTCTGGAGTGCGCGGGAAAGCTGTCTGAAGGAATTGGAATCATATCACGTGCGAGTCTCAATTCTTCTGCGACGTGGTCTACAGAACGAGGACGCCAGCTTCAATCTTACGCCTCATGGGTACAATGAGAGATACATGGAGCACAGGAATACTCTGGGAGCCATGAAGATAAAGAACGTGAGCCCTGAAATGTGCTGTGGCGGATCTTTTGACACTTTTGGTGACAGAAAAACATTATTAGGCAAAAACATGTAAGATGAAGAGTATCCAGTACTCAATTCTATAGCGTTGTGGCAATAATAATAATTATCGTATTATTATTAGATACTTGCCGACATATGGTGTAACAGGAAGGCAAGATAGTCAACAGTTCTTGAAAGATTGCGGTGCGAAAGCGGAACTAGGTATGCTGGCTGTTCAGCTGGGAACCGAGGAGACCAATTACGAGAGACCATTCACGCTTAATCTACTGTCAAACGTGGACGAGGAGAATGTAAATAATACGAATAAGGAAATCGGTGCTGAAGGAAACAACGCTAAACGAAGCAATGCAGAAAATGAGAAGCCGAAATTGAACGAGGATTATAAAGCCAAACTGGACAATGTATACGCGGATTTTTTCGAGGACGAGCACGAAACTTTGAAACGCAGCATGGACTTGCTCGATCTCCTTGACCAGATCGAGTGATTTAGAATTTTGACTGATGAAATTTGCAGTCACAATTATTTTTCTTATATTTTTCCCACATACTTATACACTTCGCGGTATTTTTGCTAAAAATAAATACATTTCTATACATTCCCCTATTTGACAAAAAGTGCGTTAGTTTTACGTGAATCGTACAAAACGCATACATTACAGAATATTGTAATGATTTTAAATGCATTAATGAAAGTTCTGAGAGAATAGAAAAAACAAATTCTATATATACAAATGCATAAAAAAATTTTAAGATTTTGTTAAGTCTAAAATGTATTTTACACCCGTTCGACCGTCGAAACTGAGCGCCTTAACGATAGCTTCTTGATACTCGCAGAAGGGTACCAATTTATATGGTGGTGGCTGTAATCTCTTTTCTCCAAAGAGAGTTGCTAAATCCTTGAACATATTCTCTCTATCCTGGGATTCCATATTTGCTTTTGTCCAGGCTGTCATCCAAAATCCTTTAAACGATATATTCTGCAAGTATATACGGTACAAATTATATTTTTATATCTTTTGCAATGTTCACAATTCTTTAGATAGTTTTTGATTACTTTAAAAATAAGTGCAGATATTGGTATGGTCAATGGCTCCCGGGACATGCCTCCGTAAGTCACCATAATACCATCTTGAGCGAGATGTCTCAGCACTTCATGTGCACTCTGCCCACCGATGCAGTTGAGAGCTAATCTGGGTGCAGGTAACTTTTTACTTTTGAATAGTTGTGTATTTCGAACTTCATCTTCAGTCAGAACTTCGTCTGCCCCTATGGTTCTCAGTTGATTCTGGATAAAGTTAATTATGTGTATAGTGTAATATTATATGTGCATATTATATTTAATATAATACTGTAAAAAGATTATTATAATGATAATATAGTACCTTCAATTCCTGTATATTTGGCCTGTCTCTAACAACACTGACAGACTTGTAATTCCATACTTTGCATAATTGAATGACCAATTGCCCAACTGCAGAGTTACCACCATTTTGTATCACAGTATCTCCAGGCTTCAGTGGAACATAATCTTTCAGCATTCTGTATGCTGTACATGGATTCACATTCATCATACTGGCTACGATTAGATCAACACTATTTGGCATCTGTAAAATCAGAGACTAAGAAATAACGCAAATATAATATGCCACAAAGATGTTGTAATAGTACACGTACCTTCATAACATCCTTAAAATTATAATTAGCTAGCGTTCTCCATGTTCCAATATTGGGACCATTTGGCACCACTTTATCTCCAATGCGTAAGGTTTGCACATTGGAACCAACTGCTACTATCTCTCCAACTCCTTCATTTCCCGGTATTGCTGGTAATGGAGGTTTGCTAGGATATTTTCCTTGTATCGTATTTATATCAGCTGGGTTCACTGGAGCTAGTAGCCATTTTACGGATACCTTTATTATAAAAAAGACAATAAAATTATGTAACAATTAGAAAATAGTAAACGAAAAAAATTGGCAGAATTAAAATAATAATATCTACTTGATCGCTTGCTGGTTGTTCTACAGTTTGGGTGGTTACTTGAAGAACTTCGACGGGATCGCCGTATTCCTTATATAGTAGAGATTTTACGCAATCAGCGTTAATTGCTGCACTCATTTCTCGAATGCTCATTAATCTACTTTTGACTGATCGCGAAGTCAGCGAAATAGACAATGCCAGTTTACCTCCGAACATAACCATGTTGATAAATCACGCTCTTGACGTTTGATAATGTTAAGAGCAATATTGATAAGATGATTACAAATCACTGCAACGATCGTCAATATTTTGCGAAAATTTAAACTTTCAAAAATTCAACATTTTCTTGAGAATCTAAACTTAAATATGCTTAAATACTAATTCCGCTCTTGTTAAAGAGGAGCTATAATCAGTTGTTGTCATGCGTTGTTAGCGCCTAGCGAATTATTAGGCGGAGAAGAGAAAAAAATAATTAAATTCTTTGATTAGATTAACTGTTTTTTTAGACCTTTAATAAATAAATTCCAGCATTATTTTCAATAAATTTTTATTTGGATGTTTTTGCAATTATTTCTAAATAATACTTATGATAAAATATGAAATATGGTATATATATAAAACAGTGAGAAATAGTTCCTTATGTGTATATGTGGAAATATATTAAGATATTTTATATATTTACATTGTGTTTTAAAATCGTTTACTGTTAAAAAATATTTGTTTCTGAAAAATCTCTTATATAATACATTTGTTATCACAGTAATAAATTTTAGTACTTAAGATATTAAACTTGTTTTCGAACATCAGATAACATTATCTAATCTAAAATCCAATAGTTATTGCTTCGCAATATGCTATTCTACTATATATATTGTAAAATAATTGTCTAATTAATTAATTAATATAATAAGAGATATAATAAATTATAAGTATCTTCAATTTCTTTTTATGCATTTGATATGTTTATAATATTCTCTTAAATTAATAACCGAGAGAAATTATAATTTAATATAATCACATAATTTATTTCTCTTGTATGTCTTTTCTCCTTACCAATCGAGAAGATTTTCAACATTGCCTATTCATATTTATTTTTGTTATAAAGTGGTTGATGTGACGGCGCTAACACCGTGTACTAAAACTGTCGGTGGTAAATCCACAGTCATTTCCGTCAACAACTGCAGATATTGTCGATACATGTCATCCTCGTCCCAGGTGCTCGAAGCTGGCGGTGCAGGCAGATAAATAAATGTCGTTGCAGTTTGAGAGGAATGCTGTTTTATCAATTGATTGACGCTAAAAAATAAAACCAAGAGAAAAAAGTAAGAGAGATTACTACGAAAAAAAATTGTAGTCAAAAAATAAACTGATGCTTACCCCAATATATAAGCTCGGGACATGTTACTCAAAGCACTATTGGACTCGGTACTTGGTTCATATTGATTTTTTGGTTCAAGCAAAGATCTGCCCTTTAATCCTCGAACTTGCTCTCCCCATTCCGGAATCCTTTTAATTGACGCAGAAATTCGCAACAAGTTTAACGATTTCCGTATTCTGTGCTCGTTCGAGATTCTCGGATGTTCGTTCATCGAATTGCAGGAATCTGAGATAGTTAGACTTTCGCTGCCTTCCACGATTTCGCAATGGAATACTCTGAGATGCAAGTTCTTCCAATTGGGTACCATGTTAATAATGCACGCAAGCTGAAGCATGAATAACGACGTTGTGTCGAATGGATCTTGATCGGTCGGTTGAAAGAAATTAACCGGCCACACGTCAATGTATTTCAGATTTGAATTTCTGAAAACAGACATATAAGTGATTATGCAGTAATGCGAAAACAAATATTTTGTTACGAGAAGTTTTTACTCACTTTGTTAACTGTGCTTTATTTAACAGATGGAAGTTTCTACATAGACACAAATTTTTCTTCATTCTCAGAATATCCGAGCACATACCAACGTATTGGATCAGGTCCAGATTCTTTTCACCCGTTGCTTGCCTCAGAGAGAATATAGCGTTATTCGGAAGCGTCGTGGTATTTTCAAACATCGTCGTCGCATATTGAGAATCGAGGAAAAAGTTCCTTGGCGTTTCCTCATCGTAAAAACCGAGAACAATCGTGTTCGGTTTCATCGCGCCCATTCCGGACAGTCTTATTAAATGTTGCATGCCTTCGCGCACCGTTTTCGTTACTGTTAATTCGACGAAGGCCTTAACTTTCATGTGGTCGACTAAACTTAGCCAGTGCGGATATTCATCTATCGTAGGATCAGTATTCTGACTGGCAAATTCGCCGACCTTCACGTGTCCGATAACGTAGAGTCCTCCTTTTTTCAAATCATTCACGAAATCGATGAGAGGACAGGCGGAGCGCGGGGACGCAACCATCAGTAGCATTTGCGGACGCCAGAACTTGACGTGATCCTTGCGCGAATCCAACATCAACAAATATTTTCGGACTTGATGGAATATCAACGCCTGAGATATGCTGCCCCACGGAGCGTTTTTACTCGGCGAGAATAAATGCAGCACGATGATTAAGATTAAACATAATATTATACTGCTGGAAGCGTAAATGCTGTTGATTACAAACATCATTATCAACGTCCCGAGGAGACCTATAGTCGCCGTATGCCATGTAAAGTAATTAAACGTTGGTCTGCAAGAAAGATTTAAGCATTTGTGAGATGCAAATTATATATAATTATATATTTAAAAATATGTATAAATAGCATACCTAAAATTTGGTGCACTAGCGAGTTCCAGTCCAAGACATGCAAGATTGGTAGCGAGATAACTTAATAGAAACAGTACCGAATTAATTTGAGCAATAGTATTCAATGAACCGATGAGTAAAATCGTCTGTACCAAAACCCACGAAGTTAATACCGCTGCTATCGGATTACCGCGCCATGTACCTTGTATTATAAAATTTAATCCCGAACCTAGAGATACGAGAAATAAAACAAAGATATTTAATTATTTAAGATATTTAAGAATTAGACTCTCTCTTATATTTTGCCATTAATTATTTACCGAATACATTGTCCTTGGCCAATGCTTCCAATACTCTGCTGGAACCTATCAAATTGCTTAAACCAGCGCTAAAAGTCGCTGTGAGAATGCCAACGGCGACAAATGGTGGCCAAATATTGATCGGCATCATGTATATGAAATTATTTTGCAGTAAAAAGCGGCTAGTAGTAGCGGCCGTCAATATAGACAGCAAAATATAACATACAAATGTAAATAATACCGCGGATAACGTTCCACGCGGAATATTCCGTCCAGGATTTTTCAGCTCACCTGTTAATCGTTAAACAGATAAGTTAATTATGTCAAACATAAACGAATAATTTTATTTACCGCTCATATTGGCTCCAGCCATTATTCCAGTTACACCGCTGAACAATACACCAAACACACTCGCAAAATTCGTAATGGTGCCTCCGCTTGAATAATCGGCGCTGTAATTCGAATAGAGATTGCTAGAAAGCGTAGAAGATAGTAGACCTGTGTAACTTCCATTTACATGCTCTGTTAAGTTTTGTACCAACGTATTCGCATCTGGTATTGGTATCTGAAGGGGCGTATCATAAGTATTTATTAATTTTATTCATTAACTCAAATAAAATATTAAATAACAACGCGTAAAATATATTTTTAGATATATCGTGGAATTTTACCTCCATCGCGCCTTGTGTCAAAAAACTGATAAAGACGCTACTTAGACAGATGCAGACAACCGCCAAAATTATGACACTGGTTTTCGCGAACATTGCGGCTCCGATAAGACATACTACAAGATTAGCGGTGTTTAGCACGGAACAATATAAAAATCTCCACCACCGGCCGTCTGGTATAAGCCCAGTATTGCCGCTCAAATAACCGGATGGACCAAAATTTTCGACCAAACCCTCAGCACATCCAGAGATGCAAAGTGCACTGGATACTATATTGGCCATAAAGAAGAGGGTGCCGATAGAGCCACCAAATTCAGGCCCTAATGTACGACTAATCATAACTGCAAAAGAATTAATAGGAAAATACTTGACATTTTTAGATTTAGTTCCCAAAGGTTGTTATAATTAAATTAATATTTTATAGATCTCAGTTTAGAGGATGAATTTCTCTCAATTATATATTATAATATAGTGTCAAATATAAGCAGAGCTATGTAAGTTGATCTATTGATAAGCTATCTCAAAGTGACAAGTTGGCCGAGTTGACCAAATAAATAATACATAGCTGCCAGATAAATAATACGTAGCTGCTATTACTGCTCACAATGAGAAAAGGATACAGTAAGCACCACCACCCTCCACGGCGCCATTTGTCGAAATAGCACAAACAGACGCAACTGTGAATAACAAAATACTATACGCTATAATAAACTGAACTAGAGTGACGAGTAATCCTGCATTGCCCACAATATATCCTATAATAAAATTATCTATGTTAGTAAGTAACAGATACTTGTATATCATAAAATGTCAGACTCTTATGAATTATTGCTCACCCATTCGTATGAAAACTAAGGCACTGAACATAGATAATGTAACTGGGCTAAATACACCAGCAAAGGTTCCCAATGTACGAGTGCCATCCACACCAAGATTCCCAAACTCGACATAGCCATCTCCCTCTGTATGAGCTGTCCTCCCAATTTTAAAAATATTACTCAGTCGTTGAAGCACACCCCTACCATGGATCAGCGGAGCTTTTTCACTTGTAATCCTGACGTGCACAGGATCCGCATTTGTAGAGCCAATTTCCGACGCAATCATCTTAAAATCGCTAGACAAATAAATTCAATACAATTAATAATTTTACAAAATCAAATAAAAATCATTTTTTTAATGTGTATAAAAAAATATACACGTTGCAATTTTTATCAACGTAACGCAATTGACGCAACAGTTATAATTATACATAGCGGATGTTGAACAGATTTTCGGATTAAACGGAGAAAAAATTACGATATTAACTATAAACAAGTCGTAAAATAAAGGAAAATAACTCACCTTTATTACTTGCATGCGTAAGAAAATATAAAAGGACATATAATCGAATTAGTCATACGTCAAATGTGATGTCATACATCGAGCATCCAACGCTCTAATGCCAAACTTGTGTTTCGATCTCGAATTGAGGTTAATAAACTCGCGGTATATTTGCCGCCGTCTACGTCTTCATATCTGAAGTTGAAAACTTCTAAATTATAGTGCATGGGGTGCACTGTAACCCACGCATTCGACGTGGAATTGTCCAACTTTAGGCGATAAAGCATATATGACTTCCAGTGTACACACAGCTGAAAAATCTCTTTTCGTCATTGATAAGCGATTTTTTTCAAGAAGGGTGATCTATTGCATCAAACGTGACCTCTGGTTAGCAAACATAACATTGGGTTGAGAAAAAATTCCCTATGCTACGTAGCTAATTTCGATTTCATATGTTCTGAAAAGTTTCCCGCTAGAGGACGCGAGATATACATTGTTTTAAAAGAGATTGTTACCTAGCTTATCTAATTAGTTTTCAGAGATATAACGCCATTCGAATTATATTATCATTCGGTGTCTGACAAGATTAGTTTCAAATTATCTTAATCATGTGAGTGTGATCGAGAGAATCCAGTATTAAGAATAATCCACTATATGTATTGATAAAGAACATTATGACAAACAACTAGTTTTCATATATGATAGAATTGTGCGTGCGCGAATACAGAGATAATAAAAAGTGAAAAAATTCGAACACTTTGTCGTGGATTGTGATTAATTAACTGCGTCTTTCAGTCGATTTGTGTGTCTCCAGAATACGATGGAGCAGACGAAGCTACAGAAACAATACAGCTATTGGTGAGTACATTTTTTATTTATTTAAATTCTTTTACTTCAATATCTTCCTATTTTTCTTTTGTAAAAGAAAAATATTTCTTATATAAAAGTAAAATGATAAAGAGTTGCTCCTCCCTCATGACAAGGATGTGATTATTTTTTATTAATTATATAAAAGATGTTATATAAAATTATTTCAGAAACTTTTTTTTAATTTTTTAAATATTTATTTCTTTCGATATTGTATAAACTGAATTAATAAAATCAATTCATGTGTTGTCATAAATATTAAGATTGTTTCCATCCTCGCTGGATATCTCTTCTTCCTTTTGCTCGATAGGAAAATCTTGTTTGTCTTCAATCTCCTATTGTACAAAGTAAATATTTTCTAAATATTAAATATTAAATATATACATGACTCGGGAAAATCGATAGAATATGTGTAAGATATTGCCCATACTTCTAGTTTCAATTTTTCTCTGTTGATCAAAAGTTCCAATTCACGTTCTTTTTGCTGCATAATTCGTTCCTCACAAATCTAAAATTTATATTTCTCATTTATATAAAAAACATCTTGTAAATTGAAATATTCTTATCTCAGTTGAAATCGTAATACGAGTTGTTAGAATTACAAATATATATCTTTCCATCATTGAGAAATTTGCTGAATGAAGCAAATATTATTTTCGCAACACGAAACATGACATTATAAGTACGTGAATAGATCATTTTGTCATCTTTATCCTTATCTGCTTATATACATAAATTCAATATAATTTCATTTTTTGCTCCTCTATATTTAATGTCATAAAATGTTTGAAGAACTTTTGTATTTCAAAATTGATTGACCTTGAAATGAAGTAACCAATGGCCCAAATACTCCACGGGATCGGTCGGTTTCTTCGCCACAATTTCGCAAAGAGCTTGGATCAAAGGTTTGCTCAAGACTTTTTTTAGATAGACACTATTCGGTGACATTTGTAAGCGTTCAGAAGACGACAAATCGTCAGACGTAGAGGAATTAATAGAATCACTGCTTTTGCTAACTTCGATCTTTGTTCGCCATAAATCTCGCAAACTGTCGATGTCATCATCGTTTAGATTCAAAGCTTTTAAAAGTCTGAGAAGACAAAGAAATGTAAAATAAAACTAAGGAAAGAATATATTGAGGGAAAATGAATCTTTTATGGATTTATTTCTTAACGTCATTTTTTATATTATTTTTAACGTTTATTTATATCTTATTAATATAATATATAAAAGTAATTTCTCTTACAACATTTTGGTTATAAATTACAATTTTGATTAATATACACGAATAATATCTGTGCAATTTATCAATTTTAGTTAACCTGATATGTTCATCCGTAAGACCAGTATTAATCAATGTCTTGACGAGATTTTCACTCAAATTTTTCTCACGCAAAAATGTCGCAATACTTTTATCTATTTCCTCGTCTCTTTTATTCTTCTCTGTTTCTTTTACTTCCTTAATCGCTTCTTCTTCTATTACTTCTATTGATTTTTCCTCCAGTTGTTCTTCTTCATCCAGTTCTTGTACATCCTCCTCTGATTGCTTTTCTAAAATTGTGTCATCGTTAATTTTCAGCATTTTAACATTTCCGTGATAATTCTTTCTACAACATTCTGAAGTATGTATATATAAATTTTTTATTTCGTCGTTAACTTCAGCATTTCGTAACATATTTGATTAAAATGACTGATATTGTTCAGAAACAAAAATGAAAATTCGCGATATAGAAATTGTTCTCGTATCTTGCAATCGTCATTCTAATACTTGATTTAATTTTTATTTGGGATCTTCAGAATGTGGTAGTTTTCCGCGCAGTTCATCTACGGCTTTAATCGACATTGTCTTGCGATTTTTCGTTCTACGCGATGCAAAAATGAAAAAAAAATTCGCGTGGATTAATACGACGAAGACCTTCGCCCCGTTTAACGAACGGATGGATCATCCTGCACTTAAATTTGCATAGTTGCCGAGCCATTTGCCATGCGTGCATATACGCATCGCGACGAAGCCGCGTACTCGCGTACCGAGCGAACCTCAATTTCTGACCGTTTCAGTTACATAAGAATTAGCGCAATGCGCGCCGCGCCGATGCGTTTTCGCGCAGCCTTTGTAATTTACGCATTTCTTGCGCAAAGATTCGTCGTCCGTTTTTTGTTTAGACGAATGCCGCTAATCTCTTAAGACTGACAATTCCGCATTGTCGCGCTATTTAGGACACGACCGCGATTTTCGTCTTTATATATAACAAAATTTATATTTAGCAACTAATTTCGAACATGTAATAATGCAGACTATTCTTGACGAGTCGCAAAGAGACATATTAAAGATCTCCTTAAGATGTCATTGAAGCGGGAGAGTAGTTTGCGCGAGTTTAAACTAACATTTATTGAATGATCTCTTGAGCATTTTTTCAAAAGCATATTTGCGTGAAACTTGTTTATAACTTTGCATATAGATACAGCTTTGATTTTTTTTTTGTATAAAATCTACTCTTTGTTATCTGTTGTTTTTAATTAATTGAGCAAGCTTTCATGTATTGCTAAAATTGTTAAAGTCGTAAAATTTTCACGCGACAACAGAGGTTGCACTTTATAACGAAGTTTAACGTTGTTGATCTACCGAGCATTTAAGTCAAGTCAAGGTGAAAATGGGTCATCTCTCGTAAGCTGTTCTATTAAAGTACATCGGGGCACTTGATAATTTGATTGAAAAAAGCGCGCGCGATAAGGAAATCTTATTTTCCTCGATTAGTTTTTCATAAATAGAAGAAAATTACAAACTATATATCACACGCAAACAAAGAAATTCTTTTGACATAAGAAATAAATAATTTCGCTGACATGAGATTAATAATAACTGCATATAGAAAATATTCTATTATGACGAGAATTAACGTAATATTTATCTTAAAAGCGTGATATATATTTTTTTTTTCATCAAGGTCACGTCACTAGGTTGATCGTCAAAGAGATGAAAGAATTTTGTACGGTGAACTTTCCGTAACAATTGCATCGGGATCAACCCATAATTATTTTCAATAGAGAGTCTCATTGCGCCGCTAGTCTTGAAAGCCGGCTCCATTATACTCGAGTACAATGCTCGGATTATGGGATAATAAAGTCTAATGATTTCAAAAGATTCACGGATCCTTACTATCTCAGACGCAGCCTGCTAAAGCACCGACGTTCAACGTTACATCTATTATATACCGATTGATTTTGCATGTTTTTCGAAGATTATCAATGCTCCACGCTATGCAAAGAGATCTTCTCACGTTCGTTTCCTTCTCGGATTTTATCAATTTCAACAAGTCTTAGGCGCCTACCGGGAATATTAACAAACTTTATTGAATAAAATTGCACGATAAAGCTATCTTATCAGTTTGGTGATGTAATCAGTACAATTGAATCGAGGTATAGCGTGGGATAAACAGTTGCCACGTCTGAATTTTTTGCAGAACGAAGCAAAACACATGAATCGTTGATTGTGAATTTGCGAATTACGGTATAGCGATGCATCCACCCGTACGTAGCCGTGACGTTTCATTCGCGATGTCATCGATCGAAATATATACTCGATGCAGATATCGCGTTTATTGAGATCACTGCCTTATTTTGCTAATGTCATGCGATAACCGTGACACACGAGGAAAATATATATAGAGAAAAAAGGATAAAATGTTCGCTCGCTCTGGACGTAGTTTTCTCACAATTACGCATTTCTATACGTTATCGATTCGACATACAAATGTGCATTACATCACGCGAATAAAATAGTATTGCGGACTTAAATCCGTGTTATCGCAGAGTCTTCTCTTTATCGAACGCTGTATTTATTTAATGCAGACATATTTAATAAAATGTGAAAACTATTATTTAAGATTAGATATAGTATTCTTAGAAATTGAAAATAAAAAAATTTAGAAATATTTTATCGCATCAAAGGTTTAATTTGTGTAGAATATGTTTAATTTTCTCAATGTAAAATTTGCATGTCTACACTTTTACTTGCAACTTTTGTTATGCAACTCTCCAAGCCAGTTCTACTAACGCCTACCTAAACATGCATCCTGCGCTTAGAAATGCGCGGGCTTGCATTCAGTCAGCATCAGTCAGCGTCTGTAACATTGCAATTTGTTAAACAAATGTTTAGTACAAAGAATATTATAATTTTTAATTATGCTTTTCGTTTATGTCAGAATTTTTTCCACAAATATAAAATCGTCCAAAATTTACGAATCACAAATAATTTCATTTATATTATATAAGCTCTTTTTTATATTGGTCTCTAAATTTATTGTTGATTAACAACTTTTACAAAATTCATTACTTTTGTTTATTGATTTCTAAGTTAACACAAAAAATCATAAATAACGCGATAAAATGTTAATTTTGTATAGATTAGCGTAACAAAATTAATACAGATAAAATTTTAATTAATTCACGAGACACACATTACAGAAATATAAATAAATAAACGCAGTTATATGCGATGACATATTTCTGAGTTGCGTTCCAAAATTTGGAGTAGAGTAGCGTTTAATTGACTAATCAGGACAAAAAAAAACAAAATTTTTTTTGTTCTGATTGATCAATCAAACGCAGTTCTACTCTAAGGAATAAATTTTGGAACGCAATTCTGAAGTTTGAATTTTCCGCATCGAGCGCGCTCGTCTAATCTCGCGCGCCGTCGGACGTGGCGCGAAATTCGCGCGCAACCCGAAGATGGCCGAAGACGCCCGAAGACGGCGCGACGGTAGCCGAATGTCGGCGCGGCCGGGCCGGCCTCAGTCTGCCGGCGTGACTCATAGTGGTAGGATGGTTTCACGCGTCGTTCGCGCTCCCTCGCTCGCGATGTCGCATATTGAACTTTGATTTTTGCCTCGTACATTTCTTATACGGCTGTGATCAGTTTCGTGAAAGTGCATCGTTCTTGATCGAGTTACGTCTTGGGAGACGATCGCATATAGTCTGACACGTCACGGCAATAGCAACACACACGCACTTACGTAAGTACAATGACTTCGCAGCGAGTTTCTCGCGGATCTAGATTGAAACGCAAATTTTCACCGTCTTATCCGACACAGCTTCTCGACATGATAAACTGTGCGTCTTTGTAAATAATTGCTACGCAAAGTGTAATATGCATATAATTGCGTATGATTGTAAGTGCAGGAAGTTTTCAACGAGTTTTTGAACGATTCGAGAACATGTTGATGGCATTTGAAGTTGTCTTATTAAAGACACGGAAAAGAATCGAATATATATACATATATAATACCGCAGGTTTAATATTAGCATAATCCGAACGTTCGCGATAAGCTCGCTTGCGGCTCACGACGACAATGTGTAAACCATTGCAAGTCACTTATTATCGTCATACCTAAAAATTGCCAATGAGATAATATATATGGTAAAGGCTTGAGATATAAGTATATGAATTCGTCTGCTGTCTCGTAATTACAGCGAGGCGATATTCGATTCGCCGCATTTTCGTCGAATGCGCCGCCAAACCTTGGCCCGCTTTGTCCGTAATAAAATCATTAATGATTTACATGTGCCACAAATATTATATACAGAGACCTACCTACACATGCGATGAAATCCATTCCGGAACGGCGAAATTATATTTTCGAATACTTTTCCGATCGCGATCATCCGCGCGTCGAAATTGCAGCTTGCAACGAGATTTTATTTTTGGATGACTCTCGTTTCGAACGGTCTCCTTTAATGAAGTTTCTCCCCGAAGTTTAAGAACCGGCGATCGCGTGTACGTCCCCCTCTACTACTCATATCGAAAGTCGCATCTACGATACGGCGGCGAATTTTACGGCTATGACTTTTTAGGAAACTGTAACGAAAGCCATCAATCGATAATACTTGTTCTAACAACGGCCAAACATGAAACGCGCATAAGTATCATAATGTTGCATCCGCAGTGTTTAACAGTTTCTTCTATTTTTACGTTTTCTATTTATCGGAATTAATAAAAAATTGTACTTAATGCGAGAGAGAGAGATGAAGTCAGATTTTTTTCTGAATTATGTTGTCATCCAAAGATTACGTTATCTGCGTAATAAGTAAAAAAAAAAAAAGCATATTTTATAATGGTGATATCAGCATCGCATATTTGAAATGTGAGAAAAGGCAAGAAGCTCGTTAACGATAGTTACGATTTCATAGAAAATACAGTTAAGATTTTTTTTTTTTTTTCCTAGCGCGTTGATGACCGTTAATTTCTTCGTCGAAACGAAAGGAAAATTTCTCTTGAAAAGAAAGAAAACCGCGATATCCTGGAGAAGAATCATCATGGGGCACGCACGACATAATACCGTTAAATGTTTTCCGAGGTCCAAAAATATATCGCCGGTGAAATAGAGCGGACGCGATTCTGGGTCGGAGCCAGAAAATCGCTGTGTTTTCACGCGCGAGGCCCGATTATCAAGTTTCCTACTTTTAACAAAGGCTTTTCACGTATCCTTAATCGAGTCGACTTTCAATTTTGCTTCGCGCACACATCCCGATGCGTCGATACGTTTTTTATATATTCATGCGGAGTTGATTTTAATTTCATTGAGACTTTTTTTATAAATGTAAAACGTCTCTCTCTCTTTCTCTTTCTCTTTCTGAATCTCGGAAAAGTACAGGAAGAAGATGAGTAAGATTCGAGGAAGATTGATTAGATATATCCTTTATTTATTTATTTATTTATTTATATTTATTTTTAATTATTTTGATTGTCGGGCTTCATCGGGATTTTTAATCACTTCGCATTCCAACACGTCGGAAGACCCGATGAAAATAAGATAAGTTGCATTGTCCACGAGTTCAGTTGCATGTGACAATGAATCATTGCGGTTAAAATTAGATATATCGCTTGTTTAAATTATACACAGCTGGCAATTAAATGTGGTAATGCCGATTGCAATTATTATTATATTGAATACGACTTTCAATGACTATTTACCGCCATGTAAACTCAAATGCAAAACACGAAAAATTATCTCGCGGTTGCCCATATATAGAAACACTTTGTTGTTATCTATTTACTTTAGCAATCCAATGAGGGGAGGGGGAGGGACACGATTTTGCGGTATCCGAGATGCACGGGTAAAAAGAGATACCTCTTTTCATCAGCGATCGATTTCGCGTCATCGTGAAGTATAGCGATTAAATAAAGTGCGTGGGCACTTGCTATTCCAGCGAAATGCTTCTCTCGTCAACAACGAGAGAGGAAAAGATTAGATTAAATCCCCTCCCCGCGCGCGATCGACTTTGCACGGCGACGAATCTTCGAAAGGACTTTCCGAAGCTCACAATCGGAATGCACATACAGGTAAATTACGATAGCGTCGTGGGATTATTCGGAAAATAACAGGCGAGGTAGATGACAGTTGCGTATCTATTTCTCGCGTAAGGCGTAAGGAATTAGTACATACGTCACGCCTAACAATGAGTATATTTAGTATGCCTTCTCATTATGCTCGTTACGTTAGCGACACGCTCCGGTCGCTTCTCGCAAATGATGCCACGTGGTGCATTATAGAGCAGTACATGAGCGACGGGGGAGAGAAACGCGACGCGTGTTAACTCGATGTACAAGGAGATCTTTTTCCAACGATAGCACGCTACTCGCGAGTTGCGAAACTTGTACATCAGACAGTTACGTCATAATCGAGGATCGATCGATTGTGCTTGACGTCCGATAACCAGCGCATAAGTATACAGAGTGTCTCGAAATTATTTATCATTTACCATTTTCTATCTATCTACAGATTAATTCCGGGATCAAATTTCTGTCAATCAAAATTTTTAAAATCGAGAGATTGATAGAATTTGAAGCAATCTTCTGAGAATCGAATTTCAGAAGTGCAAAATCTCAGAATAGTAAAACTCTGTTTTCTCTTTGTCGAATTTCAAACAGTGTTTTTTTAATAGATTTATAATGCGTGGGTTAGGTACAAAGTTATTTACAAAGATTTGTTTACCAAGAGACGTTACGGAGATATCATAGAAATAACATTGATGTACGATTTACGACAGATAATGACCTTCCTCGATATTTCTGTCAATTCTAAATTGGGCAAAATATCTAGAGTTGTAAGGTCATTGTAGAATATCCTGTAACTGAATCGCACGTCGGATTACAGGGTGGAATGATTCAAATGACTATTGGACAATCGCATGCCTTATAAAGTTCACTCGGGTTAACGTATTCCAAAACAACTGGGAAATCGAGTGTCTTTTATAACGAAATTTATCTTCCGTCAAAATAAAAGTTTTTTATAAGGAAGATTATACGTGCACGAAAAATTGTATACATACATATATATATATATATATATCTGGTACTAAAAAAAAGAAATATAAATAAAAACTTAGTATATGTGCAAAAAAATTATTACAAGTAATATTTTTTACAATATATACATAATATTATAAGTAATATTTTTTATGTTAAAGGAAGAATTATATATAAGCATTATATAAAAGAATTATATAAAAGAGATCGATCACACAATCTTTATATTTTTTTCTATTTCGCAAAATACATACATCTTGTTATACCTATACATTTTTTTCTGAGATCATCAAAAATTTGTATTCGTGAATGACTCGTGTGTGCAGCAATATGACAGGTATTAGCATAGAACCTTCAAATGCGTATTTTGCGTTCCGTCGTAACAGAATAGAATAGAATATGCAAATCGCGTTCTCGAAAGTTACGCATGATCGAATAATTCTGAGTCGCGGCGCGTAAGATGAACAAAACGAAGCGCGAACGCGGCGAGCTAATTGAGCTAATTGCATTTGTTAGGCATTATTTGCACTCACCGATCCGCATTTTAGTACGCGCGCATTCATTCGTTCTTCCTATCCTCGCTGCCATCTCTTAAGGCCCACAAAGATTTCTGAGACTATATTTATTTCTTAAAAATAAATTGCTCGAACGATCTATAAATCATAAAAATCTTTGCGAATCGAAATAACAATACTTGATTTTAAATATTTTCAAGAATGTCATAATTCCGTTGTAAAACCTGCGTGTTAAAATTACGTTATTACGGAGATGGAAGTAAAGTGTCGATCCACCATGCTATGTAATCGAAAAGCCAAGAATGACAGCTTGCAAGCAGTTACATTATGCAAACGACATACAGCTGCGCATTGTAATATAACAGATTAGACATCTTGTTAACCTGGTTATGAGTGACGCGTATGTGTTTACGGTCTTTTACTGTCACCGGATTAATTCATTGTCGACTTGCGGCAGTATCGGTCGTTTTGCTTCATTCCGGGTCATTTAATTTGAACTGAACAATTGTTCCAACGACGAGTGCACGCACGCACACGTGTACGTCCAACAATTATATCGCTTCAAATCGCTCTTCTCTCGGTTCAGCGTTTACGATCGAATTGCTGATAGCTCGCTTAGTAATTAATCACGAATGTGTTGACAATTAGTGACGTAATCAATTTAATGAAAGAGTAGTATGTGTAAACATTTGACAATACAATTTATTCGACTTCGAAAAATTTTATTATCTGTATCTTAATTACATCGTCATAAAATAATTTATTTTTATTGTATTTATTTAATGTAATTATATAAATACGATTATCTTTATAAGTGTGTATTTATATACATATAACGTAATTATAATGTTTGCACTTAATTATATTTTAATTTCTTTGGAGGCATATTTTTTTATTTATACCGCGCGTCGATACTTGAACATTCTTACACGAATTTTTAACACAGTATAAATAGCCGACCCGACCAATCTGGATTAATATTCCGGCGAAATTAGTTTGCAGATCGCGAGGACTGTGGGAGGAGCTGTAACGAAAAATCGATGACCTGTGCACGAAGGATTCCCACGACATTTCATCTAACATCTCTCTCGAGACACCGATCGAAATTTGACGGGTGAATCATGTCGTCATCCCAGAGGTCTAGACGACCTAGTGTATCGATCTACGATTATCCCGAACACTTAAATCCGTTTAACGATGATACGACAAATTCTCAGTCGCAAGTGTATCACGAGGGCAAATCATCGAAGGAATCCAAACATAAATTCTGGACGTTCGGCAGAAGCCGGAAGAAGAGATCGAACAGCTTCTCGATCAAATCTACTTGGTGAGTGATTCGAAATAAATATTTTTGCGGCTGTATCTCGTTGCGCGATATATTGACAAGATATATGTAGACGTTCGTGAAGATCATACGAGGAGAAATAATGTATATGAATCACATAAAATTGACGAATATTCTAAAGTTATATTTCGTCGCAGGTTTATTGAACTTGAACTTGCTGTCACGGTTTAGATTATCGATAGCATTGCTACTTGGCGAATATCCAAAAGACACATATAGCCTGTGATGCATTAAAATTCCAACGACCTGCACGTCCGGTCATCGTGCAATTCTTCTTCATAATTTTTACAAAAGAAAATATACAAAGAAATATATAATCACTCGTAAAAGCTAATTTTGATACCGCGAAATATAACGTACTCTTTGGCAATCTTCTTTTATTTTTTCAATTTTGAATTGAATCTATCCTTTTTTTGAAAACGACGGGAAAATTAATTATCCGCGATATCACGTATAATCATATTGTATGAAAGTCGTGCTACATTTTTTCCGAAAGTCACTTCTTGTAAATGGATACTCTCGCAATTATTCATGTGAATAAAAATACTTTCATTAGAAACAACGAGAGTTCTGGTCTGATTGGCAATCGGAATATTTTGAATTGACGGGAAAAATGCGAGAAATCGAAGAATCTGCGTCGTGAGCGTCGAATCGAAAGTTAAATTATAATACGTCGGAGAGTACGCGGAATAGGACGAATACAAGTACGCTTTAAATTATCGTCGGCAAAGTGGAAGTGACATTAAACGGAGAATGAGGATGAATATAATCAACGCCTCTAACAACTGTGAATGCATAGGAAGATTTCGCCGCTCATGTGCGTCGTGTTTTAGGGAATTCGTTCTTTTTTTCTCTTTCTCTTTCGCGCAATAAATCGATTATATTGTGTCTCGACGTTCTCGAAGCATTCGACTCGCATGCGTGTCGCGATGGATAAAATAAGAATAAGTTTGTAGACGTCATGGGTGTTGTATATATCCGGCAAGATGTTTTTTCAATGACTTTCACGATTATTTTTAAACTCGGCAAATAATGTCGTATAGTTTAATTAAATTCCGATATAAAAGATCCTTTAACGCAATCATTTTTAGCTAAAATTTTTAGAACGTGAACGGTAACTGGTGTTAGCTTAATTATAAATTTTCCGACATATGTACAAAGTGTGTCAAACGACGCGACCCGCAATTTCATAATCTTTGCGTGCGCGTAAATGCCGCGTGAATCCGTTAAGGAGCCAACGCGAAACGCGATTGTTATTTGTCGCTTACTGACGGAATCAGAGCATTCCTAGCTAAATGACATAATGTCTCATTATACATTAATCCAAAATAAAGATTAAATGCCATTCACACCTTTTTATTATGATTATTAAAACAACAATAATAAGACAATGATACTGAACAGTTGATGTAATTCGGTTCAATATCGATTTTCGGTGTTTTAGGAATGGATTGTTTGGAAAACGTAAAGAATCATCGGAACCGATGGAAAAACAGTCGACGATCACAACAGGTTTGTTTATCCAGTTATAATCGCACTCGTTCATAAAATATCTGATGATGAGTTAAACTGGAAAATAAAATGTTAATTAATATGCGGTAATATGATTACAATAATAAATGAAGAATTTTTTTTTCAAATTGTCTTAAACATAATATATTTTTAAAAAAGCACTTTATATATATAAATATTATATATTTTATATATAATTAGGTGTTATATATAGTGTTTAATATTTTATTGTATAATTAATTTCATGTTTATATTATATATATTTAAGATAATCTGGAAAAAATAAGCTCTTCAATCGTAGATTGCAAATGCAAAATAAAAAACAGAGTGCCGCATTTACCGACGATATATTTTACCGTGTAAATTAAAATACAACTTATCGCGTGCTGCAGTTTCGACCACGTACAAGAGAGAGGCTTACGACAGACCAATAGTACCATCGCGTCTCTCTAAGGATCAGCAAGAGTTCGATGAAGCCCTGGGTACTCTAACGAGGAGGAGAAAGTACACTCTCGATAATAATTCCTCGAGATACAACTCGAATTTGACAATGAACGGGGATCCCGCTAAGACTTACGATGGGAATCCGCAAGACACCACGATGTCCATTATGGGCGTTGATCTCACACCAAAGCCACCGGTCAGAAGGTGAGATTTCGCAGAATTAAAAACACTTATTTGAAATTCTTTTATTGATTAATATAAATAGATATAGCAAATATAAATTCTGAATCTAAAAAAATCAAAGATGCTAGAATTTTAAGATTAAAAAGTTGACATATAGATTAAAAATTTTATATGGGAATTAAAATGGTGTGTCATTAATCTGTGACAAAGAAACGATTTTGGGAGTTGCATTAAAATTATTTCCATTGAAGTCAAAATCATATTTGATAATTTTGTTCAGGTTTGGACAGGTGAGCCCGAGGCCGACAGACAAGATACCATCTTTGGATTTCGAAGACAAGCATCCCAAGCAAAACGGTGATCTTCATGACAAATCGGAAAGAACTCCGGTTCCACCAATGTAAGATTCTTTGCTTCTTGTTTTATATTGACATTTGTAACACTTGTGATAATTCGATGTGTTAGTTGTTGCGAGTACCAAGCGATGAAATTAGATTTCTTATATAAAGCAAAATAATTCCTCGCTAGATATAACTTGTAATTAAAAATTTTGCTATAATTGATCAAATGTTTTGGCTCAGGCGAAGGTTCGGCAATAGATCGTCGCAGAGGTTGAACGGAATCACGTCGGATCTTGAGGAAGATCCAGCCAATCGATCCGGTAACGTAAGCTTGAAGGATGAGAATGAAAACATGCCTGAAGATTACGTTTTCAAAAGATTCAGCCAGGATGCTGTGAGGAAATCAAACTTGTCCATCAATAGTTGCGTATCCGTTACCAGTACGGCAAGCACGTACGGACGCAAAAAACGTAGAGCGCCGCAACCGCCGAAACGAAAGGAGCAATTGGAGACTCCTCTGGTATATATGCAGAAATAGAATACTCAATAAATGATATAATTTATCGAAATAATTGTATAATATTTTTGTAGGAGAGTGACGGTCGATCAGAGACAAATAAAACGGAGTCTACATCAGAGACGAATAAAACGAAGTCTACATCAGAGACGAATAAAACAGAGTCTACACCAGAGACGAATAAAATCGAACTCCAGATAACCGAACCTATCGACATCATCAAAGCCACGGAAAATATCGACGAGTTGACAAAGAAGAGCTGCGAGGAGTTGAATGAAAAATCGCCGCGAAACGAAGAGAAACGGGACGAATTACTGTCGAAAACTGCCGAGGATACATCATCCGATGATATTGCGAAAAGCTCCTCAAAGGATGAAACGTGTGAAGTTTTAAAGGATTGTTGTGTGCTTGAGGTGAACGAGAAAAAGGATCTTTTGGAAGGAAGATCAGCGTGTAACTCCGATGGAACGTCAGAGAAAGTCGAACTCGAGACGAAGGTAGAGGAGAAATCGGATAAGGAACAATCGAATACGATTACCGAGGATCCTATCGAAAAAGATCCCGTGGATATAGAGTACAGCAGAACGTCCCAGGAGAATATCGAAATCATCAAGGACGTCGATCAAGAATCTGACGAGATCTGTTTGAGAAAAAAAGATTTGTCCGGCCTGTTATTGCGGAGTGACAGCTTTTCCGTGAAGGAGGAGATCGAAAAGCTCGAGAAGCAGATTAAAGCTCTGGAGAACAAGAACGCGTCCAAAGAACAAGAAAAGATCGATGACGCGCGTCACGACGACCAGGTGACGAGTGCCCGACTGTCTATCCAGGCGAATCGCCGGCACTTCTTCGAGAATATGGTGGACAGTCCGTCCGGTCCAATTAAGTTAGAGTTTAAGAAGTTACCTTGCGAGCAGAAGGATATTCATGTGGTACGATTAACAGATCCGCCAATACCGGTCGCGGCACCCCGGGACGCGGTAAAGGTCATCGAGCTACACATTTCCGAACCGATCCGGCACAAACCAGAGCTTCTGGACGAAATAAATCCCATACCAAAGCCTAGGAGGCATAGCGCGTTGAGTCTAAGAAACATGTCCGAATCCACACTCTCGAAGAATGGAAACAAGAGCTCGGAAGACAGTGGTAAGAGAGGATCCTTTTAAAATCTTGAAATTTCGTCTACGACTTCGAATTTACCAGTGAAATCCTATTGTGATTTTTACGCGCAAGTGTATAATTGCCTTTAGCTGTAAACTTCGATACGAGAGAATCTATGTACTACAGACGGGCTATCACTCGAAAGCTGTATACATATTAAGTGTCTTCGCTTCAGACGTTTCGACACATGACGTTTCTTTGTGTAGATGATTTCATACTAACGACGCATATCTTTCTGCGATAAAATTCGCTGCAGAATTCTAGCATTTCTATCATGCTATATGATTATAGTGATCTTTTACGTTTCCGACATATTGCGATATATATATCCGGAAATATTTTAAGTATAATTTTCATTATTTATTGATATGAGAAATAAAGCCTAAGCCTCCTATCATAGAAATAAAGCTGAAATCCTATCCTGTGATAAGAAATATAATCCTACTTTGAGTCTATTAAAAACGCAATATTGAGCAATAGTTTGAAATAAATCTATAAGGATGCAAAACTGGAAAGAGGAAAAAATACATAAATATACTCATCTCTTTGAAGAAGTGCTTTTATAAATTATTTATTGTAAAAATATCTCCAATCTCGTGATCTCTATAGTTCATTTTCCATTAAATAACCGTTTATCAGCGTTTTTTTTCTCTTTTTTTTCTTTTCAACTCTTTTGCCTAAGATTTCTTATTTGCCTCTGTTTATATTTTATAAACCTTGTTAAGTTTGCATTTACAGTCGATACTACTGACATGTTGTCTTTTAACTGTTTTTTCTGCTGTCGCACCTGTAAGATCAGAAATTATGATAGTACATTTGTATGTATTACTCTAGGAAATATATTTATAAAATAATATATTTACCTTGCTTTTAAAATGTGGTATTAAAGATAGCAGTTTTGGCACCAATTCGATTTCTGCCGCTAAACAATCGGTCTCATCCTCCGCATATATGTCCATAAGTGCGTCTATAGATTCCGCCATAACCCATGCTTGAGTCTCCGTTGTACAGATGTTCAATAAGAACGTAGAAATAAACTGTCGACAATAAACGATTGTTATAAGAAAATTTTAATTGGACAGAAAAACAGAAATGATTACCTTTATCATTTCGTGATCCTCAGAGTTTTTGTTATTCATCAGGATCTGTATCAGGTTGCAGAGCATCCTTATCAAATTGACTCGGACACTCGCGTTGGAACATTGACGTGTGCCGTTTAACATTGGCTGAACGTCGTCAACGGTTAACTGTTTAAAAACGTTCGCCCGCACTTCAGCCAACTGTTGAAGAATGGCTCTCATGGCGGCAGTAGCCGCTTCCAAAAGCTCTGTATCATTCGAAGTGACATCCTTAAATACGGCCGTTCCGATTTCCAGCCATTTCCTGGATACGAGTAACAAAATGAAAATTGTTATAAGTACATAACAGGAAAGTAACATCATTTAGCGCTCAAAGAATTCGGAGATAATTTACCTATACAAATTATCAACGCCACCAAAAACTTCAATTTCTATGTTGGGTAATAAATTGTTTAGACATAAATAAGCTGCGCATCGAATATCGTGAAATTGTTTTACTACATTTTTACCTTCCACAGTTTGATTCAGTATTTCCTGGCTATCTCTATCTACTATGAGTTCAGTCTTATTCCAAATTTTATCAATCAAGTTACAATTGTTTACAATTTCAACCAGCTCTACTGGAAACGTCGACGTCATTTTCAAATTGTCATTCATAGAATCATCGTCCAAACATTCAGACTCTATCTCAATTGTCTCAGAATTATCGATGTCAGAATCGATTTCACTGTCCTCATCTTCGTAGCATAAGTTTGCTAAAATCTGTAAAGCTTGTTCTTGCAACTCCAACATCTTTTTACTTTCATATACCTTTTTTCTTTTATCGTTCGAGACAGCATTATTTTCATGAGGCAAAATAGATGTTAAGCAAGACAGCACTTGTTTATGATCAACAGCAAGTACTTCGGAAAGTACTGACAACACTTTGCAAAATATATGCATCTGATTACTATCTGCATAATTATTTATATTAATTAATAGATTAGCTACAGAAGTTCTTAAGGCTAGTACTTTGGAAGCAGTTTTTTCATCGTCCGTTTTTAAGTCCAGCAGATTGAATAAAACTGATTCACTCTCTTTGATTTTCTTAATCGCAGTGTCGTTCTCATCCGATAGATATACCATGCATTGTATAGTAATTATAACAATTTCCATTCCGTAAATATTAATATCTAAAAACTTGGTTAAGAACAATGTTAAATCCTCCTCGTTAACGCACTTGAGTGCACTCTCATTATTTGCACATAATATTCGCAACAACTCAACTGCCTGAACAAATGTCTCTTTCTCATCTCCTTTTTTTTTCGGTTCCCAATCTGAATACTGTAGAATATAATAGATATAATATAGATAAAGACTTTATTTGAGTTTATAATACTATTGCATATTATAATAATTAATTTTGATTTGTATTAAATTTTAGATATATTAAGATATGTTATATATATATATATATATATATATATTATTTATGTGTTTTATACCTGTTTCTATAATGCAATCAGTGGAGTCATAATGTCATCCTTGACTAAATCAGCATTTACATCTTCCCCACCGTTTTCAGCGATATCCTTCAAAGTTTGTGCGGTATTGGCTCGTATAGCAGCATTATGATCCATCAGTAGTGGTCCAATTATTTTTGCTATTCCATCCTTAGCAATCTGCTTGGCCATAGAGGAATCATATGACATTGACGCCAATATTTGCAAAGCGGACAACTTCTCCTCAAGATTACATGACTGAACCTATATATAAAAAAAATAATATAAAAGAACGTTGAAAAGAGATCAAAGAACTGCGCTTTGTTAATATTCTATTATTAGTTTTATTAACTTAATCTTTTGTTAGATGATAATATACATCACATTGATGAAATTTCACACATGCTTACATCTCCATAAGCATTCTGCAAAACCTTCTCCCTGGTACCCTCCGTAAATTCCTCACTCAATTCGAAGTCTTTAACGGACGGTAATCCAGTAGGATTTTCCTTATGTGGCTTGTGTCGCTGTCGCTTTTGCTTCCCCATTGCAAAAAATTAATTCAAAATATATTGAAAACGATAAAATATACTTGGATATGTCTCAGAGTGTACAGGTTAAACATGCACATGGGTCGTAGGTGCTCATCAGCATCAGCGCACTAGTTCTTTGATCTTCGATCCATTCAGACAGATCCGCAGATACCGCCAATCAGGGCTGTTTTCCACTGGCAGTGGGTCATATGAAAAAAAGCGGAGAGAAAAACTTCTCTCTGATATATGTACTTTCGGGTCGAATAAAGTCCATGATAAGTCGTATCTAGTTCATTTATGTATCATGACTGTTGATTCATATATGCATAAGACATCTTTGTATATTAGCTCTTAAAATAATTTAGGAATTTCTCTAATTAATTTAGTTCCTAAATTATTTTAATTATTTTATATTATATATATTCCTGTTGTTTGTACATACTACCAATTACAACAATTTTAGTATGTTATACGGTACAATAATAAATAATATAATTTTTGTGTGTTTTGTAGATACTGCTCCTTTTTGGCAACATAATATTCTAAATTGCCTTTTTCCTTCCTATACACATATACCTCTTATCTAATATCTCAATTTAGTCTTAATGAAAACAAAAAAAAGTATCGCATTTTATCGTTCCGTTTAAACTATCATGACTCTGTCAAGTGATTGATTCATCTATCTGTATTAGTATATCTATCTCGTAGACGCGGACAACTGACACGAATGCGCGCACCACGTCGCTTTCAAGTATCGTTCATTTGACTACGTACGTCGAAGCGAACGGGCTGCGGAATTTGCAAGTCATTCGAGTCATCTACGGTCACGATTGCTGTTTCACGGTCGGTCCTGAGCGACAAAAAGACGCGAAATTCTTCCCTCGCTACACTTTCCTGTCGTCGATCGTTCCTGCAAAACTTTTTACGCGACGAAAAATTAGCCATTTTACGATGTGTCTGTACATATAGATTCTCTCCATCACGCAAATTCTATAATACAGAAAATCTACGTATTATATAAAATCTCCTAAAGGTGAGAAAATTACATTTTGAATATTGTACATATCCATCCTTGATCTGATGTCCATATGAACACCATGTCTCCATCAATACATATGATATGCATACAATATAACTTTCGATAATATAATACTGATATATTGTTCTAACAATAAATCTAAATTCACCGATACGTTCAAATTTCAAAAAAACAAAGAGAAAGTGTGCAATTCTTTTATTTTACTTTGAAAATCTTATGGAAATGTAGGAAATAAAGAAGTAGTAACTAAAAGATAGATCTGACTCGATGAAATACGGATCTAAAAATTTTAAAAATAAAAGAGATTTGTTACAAAAGATTCTTCCAATAAAATGTAAATTCGATGGTATTTCTTCACGTTCAAATTCTCTTCTTCTATTAGAAAAATTAAAATATTTAAATTAAATATATAAAGATTTGATTCTCTCTGTCGAACTGAAAATAAGGTCTCAAGAGATTTTTAAATGCGTTTCTATCGTACATTTACTTCATCTTTACAATTACACAGTTTTTACGATAATCCATTCTACGAAATCGATCAGGAATTCAATGTCACAAAAAGAATAATCGATTTTCTGTATCGCATTAAAATCTAAAAAATATGTGTCTAAATCTAAATGCTTTTATCATTCTATAGATAAAACGATACGCTCGTCTGGAAATTATAAAATATTCTAGGCATGTTTTCCGCGACTTCTCGAAACACTTGTGTCGTTCTCCGCGATTTCTTCCGTTGACTCTTTCGTTTATTTATTACCGAGTCATCGTCAGGGCCATACGACGGATTATTATTAACCAGCCAGTTAGCCGACTGCTATCGGAAGCGCAAACGGAGGTACACCGGCGTATCTACAGTGCAAATCGACGTGACGAAGCGATCTCGCGGCAACAGCGAGAGAGAAGTTCCATCCGTGCTCGGAACCGATCGTACTCCGGTCGTGATCGACGGTGGTGAAACACGTGCGTATGCAAATCATCGAGCATAATACGTGCACATCTGGCTTGAACGCGCGCGTGACGCCGCATCTATCATCTATCGGCAGAGCAGGATCGGCGCCGAATGGTGGAGGATGCCTGCGTCATCGTGTATCATCGGCGAGATCGATCGCGAAACATGATCGCGCCGTCTTGCCATCGTTTCCTCGTCTCGCTTTCGCGTCAATCAACGGTTTCTCGACGCTAGCAGATTTCCCGCGACCTGGTAAGTGTCATGTGCGCGCGCGCGTATGCGAGGGAGAGAAAGAAAGAGAGAGAGAAAGAAAGAAAGGAAAAACTTTCTACACCGACAACGATGACAAAGACGATGACGATGACGATGATGATGATGATGATGATGAGGATGATAAGGATGATGAGGATGATGAGGATGTCGCGAATCCCGCCGCCGAAAATATCTTACGATCGCGTCTGACACTTCCGCGATACCATGCGGGATGTAACTTTTACGTCGCGCGATTACGCTGCTGTTATTACGCACCGTCGTGCGTAATCCTCCGTCGCGAATTTTTTTTTTTAGCTTCTGGATACACACGATTACGCTGCTATTAGGGACCAGATCAGTCCTGAAATGTGAGCAGTTACCTACTAATATGTCGTCGCTCAGCTTTATGCGGATAATAGTGACATTACGAGTTTTGAGAGAAAGAGAGAGAGAGAGAGAGAAATATGTAGATTATACAGTCATTGTTTGACACTCGATAATGACACGAGATATGTAAATGTATAAAGGTGTATTTCCCATGTCACTTTGCAGCTCACTTTAATGGATGGAGAGAAAGATTGTCAACAGAAGAAAGGGACTCGGAGTAGCTTTCCATCTCAGAGCAATGCGTCGAGTACGCCTCTCGTATCAGGGGAAGAAACGGATTGGGAGAGTATGCTCAATACGGAGAGGCAGAGGGGCGATCTCGGGGACATGACATTTTGCATGGCAAATTATCTGAAGGAAGCTATGAAGATGATGTTCATGATGCGCAGCCATCATATGCTGACTGATGTAATACTTGAAGTTGGTTCTGAATTGTTCCACGCGCATAAAGTTATTTTAGCAGCAGCTAGTCCCTACTTTAAGGCGAGTTTAACTAGTGGTAGGAAATTATTGCGCATTAATGTAAATTATATTTGATCATCTCATGTTTGCAAAAGAAATTATTTTGTCAAAATTACACAAAGATGGTAAATTAATAATTAATCGAATGTCATATTTCAGGCAATGTTTACAGGAGGATTAAAAGAATGCGAGATGACAAGAGTGAAACTCCAAGGTGTTTGCCCAACTACAATGGCTCGTTTAATGTACTTTATGTACACTGGTCAAATAAGAGTCACTGAGATTACAGTGTGTTCACTGCTATCAGCAGCTACTATGTTCCAAGTATGTAAATAGACAATTGCAAAAAGAGATGAATATTATCTCTTAGCGTACCTGAATATGTAGCAAAAAATTCTCTGTCGACTGAATCTGTGATTTAATTTTTAAATACTGTTACAATACAGGTCACTAATGTGATAGATGCGTGTTGCGTTTTTCTGGAGAGACAACTGGACCCCACAAATGCAATTGGAATTGCTAACTTTGCAGAGCAGCACGGTTGCCATGATTTGTACCATAAGGCAAATCAGTTCATCGTTCAGCATTTCAATCAGATATGCCAAGAGGAGGAATTTTTACAACTATCCGCCATACAGCTGGTGGCACTCGTGAGGAAAGACGAATTGAATGTACAAGAGGAAAGAGAGGTTTACAACGCCGTGCTGAAGTGGGTCAAATATAACGAAGAGGCGAGGCGGCCCAAGATGGAACACATTTTGCACGCGGTACGGTGCCAGTATCTCACGCCGAATTTTCTGCGAGAACAGATGAAGAACTGCGACGTGCTAAAAAAGGTACCGGCGTGCCGCGAGTATCTAGCACAGATTTTCAAGGACTTGACGTTACATAAGAAGCCGATTGTCAAGGAGCGTACACCCAATACACGACGGGTGATATATATTGCTGGTGGTTTTTTCAAGCATTCACTTGACGTATTGGAGGGCTATAATGCCGACGATAAGACGTGGACGCAGCACGCCAAACTGATCGTACCTAGATCCGGTTTAGGCGGCGCCTTCCTCAAAGGAATGTTCTACGCGGTCGGCGGCAGGCATAATTCACCGGGCAGCAGGTTAGCATGTTGATGCCAATTATGTACGTGTTGCGCGTGTTACCTGACATTCCAGAGCTATATATCAAATGTAGTTATCAAGTAATTTGAAAAATTATAATCAGCAGATTGTTCTGTGAATCGCTTTGCGGATGCTGGAAGTTGGAAATATGACTAGAGATACATCACGAAAAAATCACGTGATTTTTTTCAGATACGACAGCGACTGGGTCGATAGGTATAATCCGATGACGGATCAATGGCGACCTTGCAGCCCAATGTCGGTACCGAGAAATAGAGTCGGAGTTGCCGTGATGGATGGCTTGTTGTATGCCGTAGGCGGTAGCGCGGGTGCCGAGTATCACAATAGCGTCGAATGTTACGATCCGGATCAGGACACATGGACTAGTGTCAAATCTATGCACGTCAAGAGATTGGGCGTAGGAGTAGCAGTAGTGAATAGGTATTATACTAGTCATCGCGTCGAATAAAAAAAGTATTAATCAACTGTTACATATTAATGTAGATAATACATTTGAATACGTGTAACTTTTAAAGTAAATCATATTCTAATATTAATTATATTATATTATTAATACAAATTGTGAATATTTATTCGGAACATAGGCATTGTTTCTCAAGAGAGTATACGCGTTTTAATTTTATCTCGAAATACCGCTTCCGCGTTGATTAAAGAAACTCTACCTAAGATATCGAGGCTATTTAGCATAGTGTGAAAAGTATAATCTTTCCTGCTGCAGATTGCTGTATGCGATTGGCGGCTTTGACGGCAAGGACCGACTCAGCTCAGTTGAGTGTTACCATCCTGAGAACGACGAGTGGACGATGGTGCCGCCTATGAAATGCAGTCGCTCCGGGGCCGGAGTAGCTAGTCTGGGTCAGTACATATATGTTATAGGCGGATACGACGGAAAATCACAATTGAATTCGGTAGAGAGATATGACACAGAACGGGACATTTGGGAAAATGTGAGCAGCGTTAGTATCGCTCGCAGTGCGCTCAGTGTCACCGTCCTCGACGGCAAATTATACGCAATGGGTAAATACAATTTCGTTTGTTTTTGATTTATAAACATTTTTCTTTTTGTTTCGAAAAGGTACATTATATAGATTTATGAACGCATAATTCTCTCCTTTTCAGGAGGATACGATGGCTCGACATTCTTAAATATAGTAGAAATTTACGATTCGACTCAGGACCAATGGATCGAAGGTGTGCCTATGACATCAGGGAGATCTGGCCATGCCAGCGCGGTATCGTACTATCAGTGTCCCATGCATTGCGATCATTTGGATCATAATATCACGCTAGAGAAACCGCCGTCGTGATATATAGACTGAGCCAATTTTTTGAGTAATGTTTAATAGCAACAATGACATCATTCTTTCATTTACGAAAGAGAAGTGTAAAACTGTAAAAAACACATCAATCTTCTCAATCGACATTTAACGGAACTCGACTGATAAGTGCATTATATAACACTAGATGATACGCGACATGTGTCATTGAACCGAATCAAGATGGATTGATTATAAAAATAGTGACTAGCTGACAAAAAGCGCATTCTCAGCAAGACAAAGTAAGTTTTGTAAATTTATTAATGGACCAATTTATCGTATCCGTTAGAATAAATATGCGACTGTGTTACATACTTTATAGTTTTATTGTAACTTTTTAATTATAGATGACTGTAATTAATAGATATATATATAGATAGAAAAATAATATATGTACATATTTACATATTGTGTAAAAGAATTTTTTCGAAGATCTTGCAAATGTCTTTTTTTTTTTTTTGGTCAGCATCTAACAATCACATATTCATATTCAATCCAGCATGTTTTGTAAATAATACATTACTGTAATAGTCTCATAATTTATTTCTATTAATTTATCCGCCTGTGAAAAGAATGATAAAGTAGCAACGTTCGTCAAGATTGTTGCATAAGAGTAACAAACGTTAACAAATGTTTATCACACATTCATACCACATAATGTATGTCAATGTATGTTAATATCGCACACCTGCTTGAACTTGTCTGAAGCAGGATGCTTTTATGGAAAGTTATGCAAGCGATGCTTGGATGTTTAAAATGGACATTTAGAGACGAAGATAATAAAGCAGATAAATTCCTGCAGCATTAAAGTAACACGAATTCTCTTGTAAAATATATAGTTCTTTACATATTGCCTTATTCCGATATAAATTTATAATAAGATGGCGCACACGGAATGCAAGAAATATGTTACATGTCCTATGTGCAATGGTGCAGGTAGGGACATTTAGATAACAGTGAATTTTTAACGCGTTTATACGTATTTTGCGATAAAAATATATCTCGAAAAAAAAAGGTAAGTCTGCAACGTGCGCGGCAATGGAAAAAGCTTCCGTATCTATTCAACGTGAAAATACAAATTCAACGCAACTTATGAGAACACGGTTTGTCGAAACGGCGTATTCGGGTGCTTCGGGAGATCCACGATTATCCGATAGGTATTTCCGCGAGCATTTAACTTAATGTATTTTGCTATGCAACTAGAATTTTTTTCTAATGCGCTCTAATGTATATTCTATAGCAATATTTAAATAAAAAATATATTTTTATAAATACGAATATAAAAAATAGGAAATTTTTTGAATTATTTTTATTAAATATAAATCTTTTTATTTTTATTTAAATATAAATCTTTTTTTTTTTTCGGTAATCTAGTAAACATACAAAGGATGCTAACCCTATGACCAATTATGGAGATTATGCAGCTCTGCTGGAGGATGATTATATAGGAACACCAGAGGAATTTGCGAATCCACAAGAAACGCTAAAATATGCGTTGCAAAGTTTAAAGCAGGATCAATGGCAGAGCACTATTCCAGCTCTAATAAAGCTCATGCACGTTTCAAGGATTCAGCCGGAATTGCTGGACTCCAGTATGCCTCGCATATATCGAAGCTTGTGCAGGTCTCTCATTCGAAGATTTCCGCTATATATTTCGCGACTATTTTATTTTATTTTAATTTGATATTTTGATATTATAGTTTACTGAAAAATACAAGACCTCATGTCGTTAGAACTGTCTGCCAGGTGGCGATGGAGTTATACAAGACAGTTCAGTGTACGCAAAGACCTGAGTTTGATGAACTTGTATCCATGTTGCTTTTAAAAAGTACGCACACGAACAAGGGAATTCGAAACGATGCTCAACGTGCCTTGGATTCTATGGTGACACATTTATCCCCTGCAATTTGTATCCGAATATTAACAAGTGAACATGGTGCCAGGTAAATGAACAAATTTATTTCACACAAACATGTCTGCTTAAATGTACATTTTCATTGTTATATGCTTATTATATAATTATTGATTATTTATGCTATCGAAATGTAAGGTACATGAAATTTTTGACATATCTTTATGTGCAGCCACAAGAACCCATTAATAAGAGCGACCGTAAGTCGGTTGCTTTATAATATTATTAACATTATTGGAGTGGAATGTTTATTGTCAAATCCAAGTTTTAAGGATTGCCGGCGAAAGATATTTATAATGTGCGCCAAATTTCTTCTCGATGGTAATAATGAAACAAGGTATTGAATCAACAGATAAAGAATATATCATTATACTTATAAAAATTCCTTGTAACTGCGCAGAGACGCTTTTACATGTATGTATGCTTGTAGAGCTCTCTTTACACAAGAAATTTTTTATTTCTTGACAAATAGATTTATACGAGATACTTGTTTTGCAGAATATTATATATTATAAAAAAATATATATTTCAAATCTCTTATTACCCTTACATTAAAATACTCTTTAAAATTAACTTATTCATATTCCGTATAAAATTGAAGAAACGATTATGATTTCTGACTTAGCAAACGATGCCAAAATAAATGTGAAATATTTAATTATCATTCTGTAGGAACGACGCGAAAAAGGCATTGAAAACTTTGATGGGCCATCAAGACTTTGATACTCTCTTTTATCAGGATGTAGATTGGAAAATTATTAGCAGCATAGAGAAACAATTAATATCTTTAAAGTATAGCCCAATTCATAGTGTATAACATTATTCATTACTGTCCCATGCAATATAATAATGTAATATCTATTAGTGTGCACTTCTTTTGTGATAATATTCCAGTAATAAATCGCGTAATTATATAATTTGAAAATTCATTATATTATAATAATATATTATTATTCTACAGTTATTAACAATTATTGCTATTAATTTTTCAGTATTATATATACACCAAAATATAAGCAGAATTAAATAATATTGTACAAATGAAATTTTCTGTATAGATGCTTTTTATCTATAATTTTATTGATATATCAAGGATACCTTATTATCAAGGATAAGTTATTACATAAAATTAGATGATTATTTATATATTCAAATAGGAGAGGGGGAACTCCATTTTTCTATTTATGACATTTTATATTCGTTTTGCTCGCACTCTGCACATGAAATGAAACGAGATGAATGTATATTCGCCCGTTGGAGAGAGAGGGAGTAAAAATCTGAGAGTGTAGAAAGTGCAAACAAAACAAATAGATATTTCAATCGGGAGGCGGGAGGTTATGTCGTAAATATGGCGCTCACCATCTCTTGAGATCAGAGACTCAGTATCGACGACGCGACCGAACACCGAACGGCGTTCACCGTCAACGGATCATCGTCGGCGGATCCAAAATGCCGTCCAGATCGCTGTCAATGTCGCGCACGCGATTCGGTTAACGATAGAGAAAGAGAAACAGTACGTGCGAAGACAGGCCTGTGACGTAAAGCTCGACGCGATGAGATCCGTGTACAAGTTGTTCCTGCTGTGCCTTATCCTGGCCGCGCTGATAATACTGCTCAATGTGACGACCAATTTCTCCAGTAAGCTGTACGACCAGACGCCCGCGAGCAGAGAGCGACTGACGCTGCAGCAGAAAAAACCGCCGGCGTCGTCGTCGGCGAGCGAGGTGACGATATGCGTGGTGGTGTGCGGGGACAGGCTGCACGAGGCCCTGACCATGCTCAAGTCGGCGTTGGTCTTCACCAACAGGCCACTGCAGTTTGTGATACTTGCGGAGAACAATCTGATACCAGCCTTCAGCGAGAAGCTGTCGGAATGGAGGCTCATATCGAATAAGACATTCGACTTTCTGGTGCGGCCCATCACCTTCCCGGACGGTAGCGATGTGGCGATGTGGAAGAAGCTGTTCAAGCCCTGTGCGGCTCAGCGATTGTTTCTACCGGTAAGCTATGGATCAGCTGGCGATTTGATTCTCCAGCGATGTCTCTTTACTAGTGTAGTTAGATTCATAAGATTCGTATATTCCAGACTGTGTTGAACGACACGGATGCGGTGCTCTACGTGGACACGGACACTCTGTTTTTGGCACCACCTGACAAGATCTGGGACGAGTTTAAAAAGATGAACTCCAGCCAACTGGCAGCCCTCAGCCCCGAACACGAGGATCCCAACACTGGCTGGTATAACAGATTCGCCAAGCATCCATATTATGGCAAGTTGGGCGTCAATTCTGGAGTGATGCTGATGAATCTGACGAGAATGCGGGAGTTTCGATGGACTGACTACGTGATTCCTATACACAAGGAATACAGACTGAAGATCACCTGGGGCGACCAAGATATCATCAACATAATATTTCACCATCATCCGGAGAAGCTATACGTGTACTCGTGCCGGTACAACTATAGGCCCGATCACTGTATGTATACGTCGGTCTGCCAGGAAGCGGAGAGGGACGGCGCCTTGGTGTTACATGGTTCTCGTGGCACTTTCCACTCGCAGAAGCAACCGCCCTTCAGGGCCGTGTACAAGGCCATGCAGGAGTATCAACTGAACACGGATCCGTATGACGAGTTGCTCGTGCCGATGAGAAATTATCTGGCGATGGAAGATAAGTCTATCTGCGGTCGAGTCTCAAAGGTGTTCATCATCCAACCGGAGCTACATTTAGCTGCCCATAATTTTTGAAACTTCTATTCCATTTTTATACGTGTTCGCGCGAGATACAGTTTGACTTTGTATCTTCTGAAATTTTTATAGATGCGTTCGTCTTCACGATATACAGATATATATATCGAAGCGATAACTTAAAGAGTAATCGTACATATCTGCGTAGCCACTTTTGGCCACATAATGTAATATTGTCCGCGCATTTTTCTTCCGGAATATTCTCTTTTGTGAGATCGTAAAATACTTAACTATATGTAAATACTTATCTATACACACATACTTAAGCGTTTTAATACACGTTGCGATACATTTAATTAATCGAAAAGTACAGATTTGTAAACGAAGAGTCATTATGCTAATATATAAGCATCCTGCTTCGTTATTATGTAAGAATAAGCAGTGTGTGTAAATTACGTCAATTAACGTATCCGGTCACCAATGTATGTTCTGCCGCGGAACTACGTTGATTTACGGACAATATGTTTTTAATGTGTTTATTAAGTCAGGGAATCTATAAAATTGCGAGCGCGATTTGCTTGCAAATTAAAGAGTGTAATTCGCGCGTTAATTCCAGACGATTCTCCACATATTATAGACTGAACTTTTTCTATATATAGTGCATTTGAGTTTTTTTTGTTAACAAGTGCGCTATGTTGTTACTGTTTGTAGGAACGATGGTGCGGCGAATATATTGTTATACATTTTTATCTGATACTTTTTGCGACAATACTTGATCGGTAAGGGAAAGCAATGATCAGGGCTTATCTTTGAATCATTTGGTCCTTAAACGAGATATTATCTCTTATGAAATTGTTGCTAATATATATTTGACATGCTACTGCATCTCTTGATATTTTTCTCTCTCTCTTTCTTGAAGCTCTTAAGATATTATTTTAATAATAAAAAAATGATACTCTTCTTTTCTCTATGAAAATTGAGAAAAAAATATTAAATTTGTTTACAATATTGATTTTGCTCCTTATTTGCATGGTTATTACACATATAAGTGGTTTCAATAAGAGATAAGCTGATCGATGCAGACGTGCGGGATTATTATGAAAGTGATGTAAGTCCGACGTCGAAAATGTTAGAATCGAAATAATACATCCGTTTCTATATCTATGCGAAATATTTATACCATTTCCAAAATAAGCATTTCACATTTTGGCGCAACGATAATTGATTACAGATCTGAGTATGAGAATTATAATACAATTTTTATATGAATTACATTTCGACATGCGAAAGTGTTCACATTTTTAGACACGTTTTCTCGCGGTTTTGTACGATTTGATACGTATTTTGTATCGTTTGATTGTTCAACGATTCGATGTCATTTGTGATACTTTCCTAATATAAAAAAAAGAATATTGTACAATATAAGGCTTAAATAAAGATCTGTCTATATAATACACATACAAAAATGTGAACATGTATTTAATACGTCAATCTTAATGTCGGCGAGAAATACCTTTATATATTTAATATGTCGCATAATACATAAACAGAGACTTGTATTATCTATTATTTCTGTTTCAGATCTTTATTTATTACGAAAAAAAGACATATGATATCACGTGAAAAAAAAATGGTAGGGGGGGGGGGAGAGAAATTCCCGTTTTTGAAAAATATATTGGATGATGAAAATCGTTATTATAGAGGAAAAAAAATATAATATATATAGAAATACATGAAATTAAATATTTTAAATACGGAGCAAAAATTTCGTACGTGGTTCACGCCTCATTATTAGTGTCGTAACGTAACGTAGGATGGAGACGGGCACGTTCGAGGGGGTCAGCTGCCGCGAGAAGGGGCCCCCGGCGATCAGTCCTCTCGCCGCTGCTTTCCGGTTGCGGTGGCACGCGAGCTCGTGAAATCGGCTCTCGCGCGATATTTTCTTCCATTGTAATGGTCTCGTGTGTCCGAGGAGGGCGTCGCTGGTGTTAAACAGATCAGGAGAAACGGCAACCGTTAATTGTCCAGTGCGACCGCGATTCCCCGTTTATTTTTTCCGGATAATATAGATTTCCGACTCCGTAAATATGTGAGAAATCGAACGGCAAGGTATAAAGTTTCGATAAAATGAATAAATCGCTTATTTTTCGGAGAAGCGATGCTATTCGAAATATTTTATATCGAAAATTGATTAAACCTTTCTCTTGGAATAAATAGCAGATTTGTGATGTTTTTGTACTCTGTAAGAATTCTTTTTACGTAAAAAAAGTAATAGATTGTTTTTTCTTAATGCTTTTTGAAGACTAAGAATTTTTTAGGATAATGTTTTTAAATATATAAATATTTGGTACAATCAAAAGTGATGTGATTAGCGAATGCGCTACTCATAGTTGAGTGAACTATTAAGCTGCCATTAAATCTTCTGAATCTTAATTATAAAGTCAAAATATGATATAAAAGCGGATCTTTTTAGCGTTAATTGAAAGAGCCACGTGATAGGAATCTTTCACGAAAAGAAATTAAATCGAATGGAATCGCCGGTTATTTATTGCGTTTTAACGGCTGAAATGCTGATGTGGTCATTCAGTGATGTAGTTAAATGGCAAATGTGAAGTAGGAAAGATAGGAGTGTCGTATATACGTATCATTTTTATATTTTATATCAATAAAATAGAATTGAGCGTCTTCAAACACGATACGAATAAAATTCTTGAAGTAAAATTTAAAAAAAGTTTGTTTCCCAAAATAAGTATATATTATATTAGTTAGAATTATTTAATTATAAATTGACGTAAAGTAATTTTGGTATAATACAAAAATGGATTTTCAAAATGCGTGAAATAGATACACACACACACACACAAAGCGTCTGTCCATTCTGGATTTTAAATTGTCTGTAAAATTTTAATACTTTTGCATTTTTTACTCCGGTATATATTCTTTTTAAATTTCTTTTTTAATTGCCGTGTGTCTTCATCATAAAATTTAAAATAGATGGTGAAGAAGCAGAAAGTAATAGAACAGTTCAAAGATTTCTAATTTCAAAAATTAGAAAGTCGCAAGAGCGAAAATAAATTTCCATTAATTCGTTTCATTCCATTCAATCTTTCGCAACATACGAAATTGACAGTCGCGCAAACGTCGATTTAGAGCCGGCCCTGATGATCCACGATGATGATCGAGCAACGCAGTCCGCGCGCGCGCGTTTTATTCACGAATCCACGATAAAGATCGAGCGAGAACGAGAGGAGTGATAAGAGCGCGATAACGAATAGGAAGAGAGAAAGAAAAAGGTACTTTCGAGTGGCTATCAGTCGTGACGTGGTACGCGGTCGATTACCATTCTACTGTGTGATTACAGTGATAATTGCGCGTATGTCGCGTTCGTGAAAAAAAAAAAATAAACTAAAAACAAGGATACGGATACAGGTGCGCGTCGAACGTCAACGGGAACAGGTGAGAGGCCGAGCTTCTCTCGCTCCTGGACGCTTTGCGTGTTATTTGTACACGCCAGCGTGTACTTGCTTGTAATGTTACGGTATCGACGTGTAATACGTGCTGTACAGGGTGTCTCGAAAAAGCATCTCAGCTAAACCCCGTCGTTTGTTCACGATTAGTGACGTGGTGATTGTGAAATATTATTCCGAATACAATCTTTTTCGTCTATCTGGATATAGGTATTAAATCAATACTTACATCATTTCTGTAACAAGTATCTGCGCCTATGTTGTAAAATACTTTTTCATATTTCAATTTTTTGTATACATTGTGGAGAGGATTTATCGCGTTTTGGCACTTATAATATAAAATATAAAATTTTAGTATAAATTATATTTAAAAAATTACGTTCCACAGAGTAATTCTGGGATACCCTATATTTGTTCTGATGCGATGCTACTGTATATGCTTATATTCAGTATCGTGGCACACGGTCATATATAATATCAGTTTTAATCACTCTTAATGTATACCAGCAGGTTGTACGGCAAAAGCTGCTCTGAATTTATAATGAGACTAGTTGCGGTAATAATTAACTCATATTGCGAGAAACGCCGTGTAATTGCATTCTAATATTTTAATAAAGAGGAAATAATGTCATACATAATAGGTGTCTAAATTAAATATTAAACAAGAAATTAAATATACAGAATTAGTTTTATTTAGCTGAAAAAAGATTCAATGTAGAAAAAAATACTGTTATTTCTATTATTCTAATATCTTGCACAAAAATATATTATATTTTTTGTCTATTGCGATAGATGAAAGGAAGAACAAAAGGTGTATTGCATATTTACTTCTTGCTTGATTCACGATGTCAGTTTCTAGAAAAGCTTGTATCTCCTCGCCACTTCCATCAATTGTTATTTTTCTATAATCTGATTGGACAATGATTGAACAATTAGATTTGAGACAGAGAGAGAGAGAGAGAGAGAGAGAGAGAGTACGCCAATAAATGTCAAACGTTAAAGATAGGGAGATCAGTGGATTTCATCTGATTTATCTTGTCTAACCGCTCCAGCGCTAGAGTCCTTATAAAAGAAACTTTAATTTAAAAAAATTTCATTGCTTGTTCAGATCATTTTTTTATTTTAGTATATTAATCGATTATTGCGAATTTTTATTACTCGATCTTATTACTCAATGTGTCGGTAATTAATGGCGAGGAAATACGATGAGGAATCCGAATCACAATTCGTCACGCGATCTAGATCGTCAGACGTTTAATCATAATCAAAGCCGAATGGCAATATTGCGCATAGTTGACAGTTTGCATTGTCGTAGCAGAATAGCGTTTACGAAATTCGCAACAGCTTAGTCAGAGAAACGCCAACGACCTATATACGTAAATCGAATCCAACTGCTATTTATTCGCCTGTTTTTCGCCTATGTTGTGCGGAATCAATCTATGTTATTTTGCGTATATTTTGATGTCACTTATTAATTACGCTTCATTGAATTATCAGATAAAATTACTGATGACATATGAGATATTTTATCGTGTATTTACCGCATTTTTTTGTCATAATACGCGAGCTATTAAGAATCACTTTTTTATTCTTGAGATAAAAAGATTCTAAAAATGCGAAAAGAAGAAATATTAAAAATTCTTTCTCTCTGTTAAAAAAAATAAAATTTAAATAAATTCATGACGCTAAGTTTAAAAACATATTTTATGTCAATTGTTATAAAAAATCGTACATTTATGCAATAATTAGATACTAGTTATTGACATCGTATCAGCTTAAATTCCTTCGACTTATCGTCTACTATTTATAGTTAAAAGAAAGTGTGTTACATATGTCTTAGACATCCAGATGTCTGGATAATGATTGCATCATAGTATATTCAATTTGACGCGAATAATAAAATCGCAGGTAATTTTGCTACATTCCTGGCCGCGCTTCTTTCGATATTGCATAACATCGACAAGAACATTGCTTTCCTAATAAAATCGCGTGACATCGGATGTATTGCGTACGTTTTGCAATTACTCAAACGAGCTACCTGCGAAATATTGCAGGAAATTATAAACGAGGATTTGACTCCAATAACGAATCACGAGTTTCGAGAACCACGTGATGCAATACTGCGAACATTAGAATTGATCGTATTATCGTTTAGATATCGGAAACTTCAGAACTCCGCGATTTAGATCTTAGATTTTGATTCATGATTGCAATCTGTTTTTTCTGTGATTGGTACTTGAAATTGTCACGCACATATTTGATGGATATTTTTAGGCATTCTATCAGACTTACAAATATTTATATCGATTTTGTTTTTAATATCGATTATTGATTATTGTTAATAAATTTAACTCGATAAAAAATTAAGAAATGACATATTTCGTAAAATTTTAATTAAAATCTCGTTTAATTTTTGATAGATTTTGATAGACAAACTCGAAATTGTTGCAAAAAGTAGGAGTGTATAAGACGTATATTATACGGTATTTATTCCTCGCCCGAAGAAAAATGATTCAGGTGAGTAATAAGTACCGTATAAAAGGAGTTTGTCGCAATCCATAATCTTGATGCGCAAACGAGGCGGATGATTATATTATTAAACCATTACTAAATACGTGTTTATAAACATATTTATAGATTGAACAAATTACTGCACACGTCGTTCTACATGATAATTTTGTAAAATTGGGAACAAGTATATTATTACGAGGAATAATAAATATTCACTATATATTTTACAGCTAGATTGTATTCGTGGTATGTAACATGTGGCCGGTAGATAATTTTTATCTCATTGCACAGCAGGCAAATTGCAAGATTGCAATTACCGTAGGTCTCCCTCACCGTGGTTCTCATCTCTCTTATTTAATGCCTCTTATTTACTGCGGAATTGCAAAATGTATCGCAATTATTGATCTGTAGGATTAAATATATAAATACTAATTTAGTTCTCTAATTGCGATAAAAGTTTAAAATGTACTTTGAAGTATGCACGAAATTTGAGATTTTCCTCAGCAATGTTGATGTTAGTTAAGTACAGCTCTTGGAAAATGTAATGAAAAATGTATGATGAAAAATATATGATTTTTCAGAACTCGCATAATACCGGTTAAGAATTAAAAAGTGAGAAATAGAACGGTGATTCACACGAAAAGAAACAGTTTTGAATGGACAATGATATAATGTAGACCGCTATAATTTTAGCAAACTAGTATTATCTCGTCAATCTTTCAGTGCCTTGTTCGACATAGCAAATAAATTTTGGAAAATGCTTTGAAATATTTTGAATAAAGATTCGAAAAATACACTTTACGCGAGTCATAATCGTTCAGAAAATCGCGAGTGACAGTTATAAGTCATTGCGAATGATAGTTATATCGATCCATCACTCTTGATAAAAAATTTTGCGTTCAGAACCCAGGAATATCCCGATTACAAATTCATTGTTTGATTTATTTGCGCAGAATCGAGAATGCCGCTGTTCAAGGCGCGGGCTACGTCGAGGTCGCCGATAACGGAGAAAGCTGTGAACGGCGTGCAATATCGCAACTATCATCAGGTTGCCGATGACAACAATCATGACGGAGGCGCGAGCAGTAACGGTACCGGTAGCCGGTCGTGCAATAATAACGCTCCTCTTCAGCATGAGCAGACGAGAACCTCGTCTCGGGACTTGAAATCGCCTTCGCTCGTCTTCCACTGCCAGCTGGCCCACGGCAGTCCCACGGGACTGATATCAGACTTTAGCAATGTCCGCGAACTGTACCAGAAGATCGCCGAGTGCTACGACTTGCCCGCGGAAGAGGTAAGCTTGATTTGTTAAGAAGTTTGAGAAGAAAAAAAAGAAAGGACTTAATGATGTAAATTGAAGGATTTAGCATTCTCATGAACTCGACGAAGTGACTCTACTATTTCTTTGTCAGATGCAAGTACAGCAGTCGAATTGAATGACTTTCCTCTTTGAAAGATATATTTGTTTCATCGAGTGTGAAATTTACATTGTCAGTTAGTAATAGTCGTATATCTGTATTTTATTTATTTATTTCATACATTTTTCTCTCTCTCTCTTTCACTCTCTCTTTAGATATATATTTCTTTTGCTTTTAATGCTAAAATGCGTTTCTGTCTTTACAAGTTTACAATGTTATTTTTAAAGATGTTAATGTTTTTTTTATTGCATTGTGTCTTATAAATGGGCAAAATTATATTTGAATAATAAATAAAAAATAAAAGAGATAATTCATGATGAAGATGTGAGAGATAATTTATTCATAATTGATAATCATGATGTTTAGAGTAGAAATGGCACATGTATATATATATATATAAATACACACAGGAAAATCAATTCGTTATTTCTAACGCAAAACGCCCTACGTAGGGAGACACGAGACCGGAAACGCCGGAAACGCCGGTCACGGACCGTGGCATCTCGTCGACCCGGCGGATATGTCTCAGTGAGAGAGAGTCGCGTGTAATTCGATGTGTAAACGCGGTCGCGATGTAAGCAGGTCGCTCGTCGATTCGTTATGGGTCGTTTAGAGCGCGGGGTCGAACAATTTCTCATTGCAACGTCAGCTAAACAAACTATTGTACTTTATCATAGTTAAAGGAAATTAGAAAAATAAGTCTATGGATATATAATCTAGATAAAAAGTTTACCAATTATTTACCATTAATAACCAATTAATAATATAACTATTTAAATTAAAGATAGCAATAAAAGTTAGATAAAATCTTTAATAAAATTATATTAAATGTAAAATCTGTTATATAAGTAAAATTTTAATCGGAGTAAGTTTAATGTAAAACTTAGTAATTTTCATAAAAATTTAAATAAAAAGAGTTCAAAATTGAGACCTAATTAATGTTATCACGTAAAGTGCTCAATATTGAAAATCAAGTAAGAAACTTTATTGTTCCAGATTCTCTTTTGCACACTCAACACGCACAAAGTGGACATGACGGAGTTACTAGGTGGACAAATCGGTGTGGGTGACTTCATATTCGCACATAAAAAAGGTTGCTGTCCATTTGCTGTTGTAGTCATAAAATCATAAAGAAGAGCAATATTGAATTTTGAGCAAAAATCGATAGAAAGAGAAATATTAATTTTTAATTCATTACTAACTCTAAACGACATATTTGTTTTTGTATTAGAATAAACGTCAGTGTAAATAAATAGTCGGAATAATTATTATATAATAATTTAAGACATCATAATAAAATTTGGCTCATAGTATTTTATCTTGAATTAAATTATACTTAAATTTTCACGAACGCGCGTAAAAGAGTAACGCGTTTTTCACGCAGGCCGGCCTAAGGAAATCGAGCTGGTGAAGACGGACGACGCATTGGGCCTGACTATCACTGATAATGGTGCCGGTTACGCATTCATAAAACGTATAAAGGAGAGCTCCGTGATCGACAGAATAAAGGTGATCGAGGTGGGCGATCACATCGAGAGGATCAACTCGACCAGTCTTGTGGGCAAACGACATTTTGAAGTGGCGAGGATGTTGAAGGACATACCGAAGGGCTCGACGTTCACATTGAGGCTAGTGGAGCCGCAGAAGAACGGCTTCGGCAGCATCGGACCGCGCGGTGATCCCAGGAAGGGGAAGAAAGTCGGCTACGGATCCGGCAAGGAGACTTTGAGATTCAAGGCCGACGGTAGCACGCAGATAATACAACAAGTATGCAGTAAAGATAAAAATTGAGAGACCGTCCAAAGAGATTATATTATAGGTGATAAATTCGTCAAAAAAAAAAAAAAATAAATAAAATATATATTTTATCAGGACAACGTTCTTCTGATGATATCTTGAAAAATGTTAATGACATTGAAAGATAAAAAGCTGTTTTATAATATATTTGAATTATTTAAATCCATCTTCAAGTGTACAAATTTGTATGTTTATTTCCTGCCTAATAAATAATAACGAGTACTAAGCACTAATCAAAAAATATTAAATAAATATTTGCTCACAGATTGACGACGCGGCTGCGCTGGGCGTTGAGAAGATCAACACTATCTTGGAGAGCTTTATGGGAATCTCTGATACGGAATTAGGTAGGTTTTTGAATCCGGGTGTAATAAAAATTTTTTCTGACATCTTTTTCGTTCTTTTAAAATTTATATACACTTTGCTTCATTGAAGACTGATTCGATTGTTATGTTTGATTTTGATCGCAGCCACGCAAATCTGGGAGCTCGCCGAGGGCAAATGCAATAGCATAGACTTCGCCGAGGCGATAGATAATTCCGACTTGGAGGATTTTGGTTTCACCGACGAGTTCGTGATCGAATTATGGGGCGCCGTGACGGATGCAAGAGCGGGTCGACATCGATGACGCGAGGATCGATGACGAAACAATTAGCGGCGCGGATAAGGAAAATAAATGGCTGAGAGCTTCGTTGAAACGAAATTTTGGACGAAATTATTCGTAAACGAGTGCTCTTCTACGTGACAAGTGACATTCATTTATCCTCGTCTGTTACCATGATTCTGGAAACCTAATGTTTAACGCTAGTCGTGGTTCTCGAGATCTCCGTGCTTATTCAAAATTTTGATTTGGTTTGCGAATGTGTGTGTATCAATACGAGAAAATCGAGCATCCGACAGCGAAGATGCAGGCCGAAATCTGCAATATTCCATATCATATTGTACATTGTGTCATACGACAAGCGCAGAGTCAAATTTGAAGAAAAGTATAGATGCAAACATTTTTTGCAGATTGTGCGTTATAAAAAATTGAGAATAGCTTTTGATGCAATGACATTAAAAAAGAATTTTCATCTATTAAAGTTGTATTAAAGATTTTATTATTTGATGTCAAATTTACTTTTTTTTTTCTTTTAGAAGGGAGAATTTCCGCGATTGATTCTCTTCGAAAGCTTGTTTAATCTCTTTGTTCATGTCTTTAATTAAATTATTACAAAATTTTATATCTGATAAGATAGCTTCACATAATTCGAAAGTGCAATCACGATAAGTCTTGTCATAATATTGTTAATGCTCATCTGATCATCTGAGAAGAGATGAAATAACAAAATTTTATCAAGTTTGTCATATAATTTTCCGAATTACGCAATTATAATGTTATAATAAGAATATACTACGAGAAAAAGTTTATTGACATGGGAAATTTTATACCGTCGCAGCATAAATTTCAAAATAAGATCAGTTATTATGTGGACAGCAAAAGAATTTGTTAAGAATTCTAATTTGAGTTTGCTGAAAATAATTCTGCTAAATCTGTCAATTATTTTATTATAATAGAAAATTGATTCTTATCTCGCCATCAAAGCAATAACAATTTCGCTGTAATATTAAAATGCATTTGGTAGCAATAGATTATTTTGCTTTAGCAGAGCAAATTCGTGTTCCTATGAAACAAATTTACTCAATGAGATTTTTCTGTTTTACAAATAGAACGAATTATGTTGTAATATCGAATAATAGATTACGGGTAGCAAAATCACTTTTACATATTAGAATATGCAGTAACAATTACGATTTTACTGTCGCAGCTAAAATCTCTTCACTACTTATTTGAGTCGATATCGACCTACGTAAAAACGCAAAAAAACAATCTAATATTTGCAACGATTAGTATTAATTATTCAAATTATAGCGTACACATATTGACGTAGCATTAAAATAAATCACGCGTTATCATGTTAGTATCAAATTAGATATTTATTCTAACATGAGCCAAATTAATATTCATTAATATCGAGTAAGATGAAAGATATTATACACAATGTTAAGAATGAATTAATATATTTTGATACATAAGAGCGAACAAGTTTATGATGTGAATGTATAAGTGTGCAAAAAATTATTATTTAGCATAATAAAGTCTTTATAGTAAATGCATAATTTTTACATGATCCATATATCGGTTAATCGTAATGCAGACAATGAAAACAAGATAAGAGAGAGAAGAGAGAGAATATCGATTTATAGACTGTAATATTGTCATCACCAATTGATGACTGGCATATCCCTTATCTGACAGAGATAACAAGTGAAAAAATGAAAAATCAGTATTATATTAAAACATGTATTATTTGTAAATATATTATATACTACGCAAGTCACGCAGGAGTGAAACAGCATATTGTTCGGTCTTAAAATGTTTAAATTGTAAATCAATTCTTCCTTTTCACAAAACTCAAATGCTCTTATAACACATGAAATACAGCAAATTAATTAATTTTAAATTCCTGATTCAGATCCGGTTTCACAAGATTATGGAAACTGATGACGTTCTCTCGTTATGAAACGGCATAAACATGTTTTTGTTGATAGAGTTGTATTTTTTACGATACGTAAACGCGCCTTGAAAAATTTTAGAGAATATCAAAACCTATAGTGAAAAATAATTATATTATTAACTGTTAATATTATTAATATATGTTGCATGTTAATATGTATTAACATCGCGATAGTAACATAAGGCAATATCAATATTAGTTATACTTTAAATCTCAAAATTTTTAAATTCTCTTTAAACTAATATTTTCCATGTTTCATATGGTTTGACACATTTATTTCTCTCTAATCATGCAATTTTTGATAAGTTTGGATTGGAACGTCAATACACACATATTCCGATCATATGTTTAGTCCAGTCTTATAGTATTGATGCGCATGCGTGAAAAAGCCAACTTGGCTTGGCCTGTTCCGAGTTCCGAGTTCCAATAAGTTCCAAGTTCCCTTTTCCGTTCCGATCTGTCAGTCAGCATCTGCGCCTTCGTGCGTAAGCACTTTAATATAGAGTTAGTTTTAGCCGGCGTAATTAACGAAATTGTCACGAAGAACGATACATATTTTAAAACAAAATCGTACACCAAAATTGAATCTACTTTACGACGATAAAAATAGAAATAAAAGAATATCATAAAAAAAAATAATTAAAAGAATATTAGAATAAATAGGTTCGCATTTAACCTTTGACCCAAGAGAATCTTGCAAATAATAATTATATGTTTAGCATATAGTGACTATGGCATTTGTATTAAAAAAGGCCGGTGGCGTGTTCCTACGTTTGAGCAGCGGTTTGCCAGCCACTCGAGGCTCTATAAAAATAACACGGGTGTGTAAACAACTTGCGCGATTGTTATTGCGCTTTTATCAGATAACCTATATTTATTCTATCTAGCCTAATAGATAAGATAATTATTTGGTTTCTATTTTGATCTCTTTTCTGCAATATATATATTTCATACATGATTATTGAATTATTTATGGATTTTAATTATTATTTGCTTCATTGTAATTTTTTTAGTATACCACAAATTTTTATATATTTTTTTTACATCATAATCATGCAAGTATAAAATCAATGCATTCTTTATTTTGTAGATCAACAAAAGTTAACATTAAAATACTTTAATATGAAATCAAACTTTTAAATCTTATTTAACAGGTATGCATTGCTAATTTTTCCATCAAAGCTGATATTCCGCAAGTGGAAGAGGAAGCTGAAAAGTTAAAAACACCAGTAGGCAATGGTAAAGTGTTCAAGAGCGTAGAGGAAGCTGTGTCCGATATACATAACGGGGCTAAACTTTTGGTTGGTGGATTCGGTCTCTGTGGCATTCCAGAGAATCTAATAGCAGCCATATTAAACAAAGGCTCTAAAGATCTAACTGTAGTTTCGAACAATGCTGGAGTAGAAGACTTTGGATTAGGTATATTGTTGAAGGAGCATAGAATCAAGAGGATGATTGCCTCATATGTGGGTGAAAATCCCGAGTTTGAGAGGCAGTACCTCAGCGGTCAATTGGAAGTTGAATTAACGCCGCAGGTAACGAGGTTCGAAGATAAGAGTATTCGCAAAAACTCTTCTGCAGTTTTTTACAAATTGGATCATTTTAGGGCACTTTGGCGGAACGTGTGAGAGCAGGTGGCGCCGGTATTCCGGCTTTTTACACTCCTACGGCTTTCGGTACTATTGTGCAAGAAGGCAACGTCATCCTGAAGTATGACGAAAATGGTAACGCCGAGATCTCGGGCGAGCCAAGGAACGTGAATCAATTTAATGGACGGAACTACATACTGGAGACAGCCATCACTGGCGACTTTGCTCTTGTGAAGGCGTGGAAGGCTGACACTGCGGGAAATCTGATCTTTCGAAAATCCGCCAGGAACTTTAATCCTGTGATGTGCAAAGCCGCCAAAGTAGCGATCGTCGAAGTGGAGGAGATCGTGGAGATTGGCCAATTAGATCCCGACCAGATCCATTTGCCCGGCATTTTCGTGGATAGGATCGTAAAAGGACCCTCTTACGAGAAACGAGTCGAGGTTAGCGTTTATTTATCCTGATCGATATTCGTCGATATATTTAGTTGTGCAAATTTCTCATGAATGTATTTTTTCCGTCATACATATATATACACAGAAACGATCGACAAGACAAACTATGAAGCCTAAGAAAGTGACTCCAGCTAGTAAAGCGAGAGATAGGATTATCAGGCGCGCTGCCCTTGAATTTAAAGATGGAATGTATGGTAAGTATGATAATAAGAATACAATTTGCATGAATTAGAAATACGTAGATATACAGATCTTAAGTAACATATATCCGTGTTCCTTTATCAGCTTAATACTTGATAAGGTGAAAATATTTACAGCCAATTTGGGAATTGGTATACCCATGCTCGCTAGTAACTATATCCCAAAAGGTGTGAAAGTGACATTGCAGTCAGAGAATGGTATTCTTGGACTGGGTCCTGTCCCAGAGACCGAAGCCGATGTTGACCCCGATCTTATCAATGCTGGGAAGGAAACTGTAACAGTGCTACCTGGTGCTGCTTACTTTAGCAGCGACGAAAGCTTCGGCATGATCAGAGGGTATGTGACTATTTAGACTATTTTAAAAAGCTGGTATTTTATAGAGGTGATATATCAAAAAAAAAATATTTAGTTGCTGGAAAATGCATAGAAGATACATTTAGTGTATTATAATAATAAATACTGTTTTCTTTGAGCGTTACAGAACAGGTTTAACAGTGTTGTACTTTACAGAGGACACATTGATCTGACTATTCTTGGAGGCATGCAAGTATCGGAGAATGGAGATTTGGCCAACTGGATGATACCAGGTATGATGGTAAAGGGCATGGGTGGTGCTATGGATCTGGTATCTTCGCCAACCACAAAGGTAGTGATAACTATGGAGCATACAGCCCGAGATGGAAACCCGAAAATTTTGAAGAATTGCACTTTGCCTGTCACAGGTAATGTCTCACAAATATTTTAATACTAATATTTCATAACCTTTCGTTTCCTAAATTTATTTACGTTATTTTAATATTTTATTATTTAATGACAATACATTTTAATGCTCATTTTAACGCCTTCTAATATTTCTTTAGGTCAACAATGCGTAAATTTAATTATCACAGATCTAGGAGTATTTGAAGTAGTACCAGGAGAAGGATTAAAGCTCATCGAAATTGCCCCTAATATCGATATCAGCGAGATCGTCAGTTCGACGGGTTGTGAATTTAGCGTTGTCGACGATCTTAAGGAGATGGGACAAGTTGAAGTTGATGAATCGTGAATTGTAAATATATTTCATAAATTATAAATAATAAAAAAGTAAGTTTTTGATTTCTATTAATGTCCTTAAAATTTGTTTCTATTAATGTCCTTGTAATATTTCTGTTGTTTATATATGCCAATATCTCATGTAATATAATGTAACATTTAAATTATTAGGTAATTGTTATAGTTAATGAAATTAAATAACTGTTATGTTAATTGCATTATTGTACACGAGAGTGAAATATTTAAATGTACATATATGGTTTTCTTTGTAATTATATATTATGAAAACGAGAAATTTATATATACGATGTGTGTGCCACATCGTGAGCAAGTAAAGTCACATTACATCACGTTGCACATGCTATATTGTAAGTAGCACACAAACATTACACATATAAATGAAATAATGTTTTGTAATATATATCTTACACAATAAAAATTTTTAATATTTTTGATATATGTTTTTTTCTCGATCGCACGATATTAATCTTAATTTTATCTTTTATGTTATTTACAATTTTATATACATTGAAAATTGGAGTTATATATATAGTAGATCATTCAGCTTTAAATATCAGTATCTGATTCAATGCAATACAATAATTGTTATCCATGTTATTCTCTAAATTTAGCCTTCACTCTAGCGGGTAGCGGCAACAAATACAAGACACTGTTTAATATAATAAGACCGACGGCGAACGCCAAAGAGATCAGTAGATTCAGATCCACGTTTAACACTTCGGATATATTCTCGCCCTCCTTGGTAAAGCGTTCTATCAGATAAGTCTTGCCATCGGGATATCTGCAGAGCTCGGCAGAGCCCGGACAGGCAAAGCTCTCGTTGTAGGGCAGATTGGACAGGATGGGCGTATCGACGACCAACTGGTTCAGCGCCAGAGAAGCGTATCTAGTTGGCAGTGCCGTCGACACCGTCGTCAGCCAATAGGGCAAATTTTTCAGGCTGCGAATTGCGCCGGACGCGATTACCAGGGACAACAGGGTCATGTACAGGACCACGATCGCACCGGTTATGGGGCGACCGACCACCATCAGCACGGCTACCGTCACTTGCTCGGCCGCTACGTAACTGGACCACAGAATGCCGGAAGCGTACGCCCAAGAGGACAAGTCTAACTCGAGAATCGGAACCAGAATTCCGATTGTTATCAGAGTCGATATGAAGCTCAGTGGAAGACTCAGCAAAGTGTACGCTGTCAGAAACATTGCGCCACCGTAAAGACCCTCTCGCTTCTCTTGATAATATCTCGCACGGAAACCTGGAACTACATATATCAATCTTTAACATTAAATTGAACGTAGAGATTAAAAGAAGATCCGCTTTAATATACATCTGGATTGTGAATGAATATTTTATCTTTCCATTCCCGAAGGCTTCGAATAACAATTAGCAAATAAAAATAGAAAAAAAAAAGAAATTAAAAAAAAAACATATCCTTGAAATCAAGAGAATTGGGAGTTTGTAAATGAATTAAATAGATATTATAGTAAATTAGCGGAGATTCGGTAAATAGATTGATGTTTATTACTATTAAATCGATTTATTTTTGACTTACACAAAAGCGAGGTCACGGCTATCCCGGCCGTGTAAAATAATGTCAAGACGTTGAAGATCAATCCGCCGGTCTGTAAGAATATCCTTGACTGTACGGGACTCGAATGTGAATACAGTATGCTCATTAGGGCAACCAGAAATGGCAGCAACAGCAGGCGAGCGGCGAAGTGTCCCAGGCCGGTCTTATTCAAGGAGAACGTAGCCGCCATACTTCGTCTAAATATAATAATATATATGATCGCGAATCATCAATCTCTCTACAAGATGTTCCGAAATTGCCTTCGCAATTTTGCCGATAGAGATTCGACGAGATTTCAAAATCTTATTTTATATATATGTGCTGTGAGAAAATATCAAATATATTAAAAAATGGCAGGTAATAATCTTCGCAAAATTTTTTCTCCGAAAAAAAGTAAAAGAGTCCTTGAAAATGTGGCTCTCAATTTCGTTTAATTAACATGAAATTGTGTATTTTTATCAAAACTGATACCATTCAAGAAACTCACAAATACAGTGCCAAAAGAGTCGAGAAGCATCCAGGCTTAATTCCTCGACCTAGACCCTTGTGCACGATGCCGAGAGCCGCATCTTTCATGTTGTGCGATATCTGCGGCGCTTCCTTCATGTAAAGCATTCCGTCCACCTTGAATTTCTCGACCAAAACCGAGATTTGTTGATTCGACTCCAAGAAGCGATCTCTAGAGCGACGATCAACGGTCGACAAGCAGACTGAAAAAGCATGACATTGTTCTCCAACATATTAAATTAGCTAAACTGTTTTTTGTATCGTTAGATTGATAAATAAATAAATCAATTTTTTAAAACATTGTAAGTCCAAAAATCTGTGTCGGCAAAGTTATAAAAAAATGCATTATCTCTGAAATAATAAATGTTAAACAAAACTAAGTTGTCTTTCTACGCGATACTTACGATAATACATCAGGGGATTCTCCAATTCCGGACACGGAAAGCCGATGTAGGTGAAGTAATCCAGCATGCTCCTGGTAGGTCCTGAATAGACGACCGCGCCCAGGCATAACAGCGTCACACGACTGACGAACGGCAGCACGTCGGATCTGGGTGTCTCCATGGTGAGGACGACAATGGAGCCGCGTCTGGTGGCGTAGGACCATAGCATCGAGACGATGAGATACGTGTTGAGCGGATCCGTGTCCCAGGTCGGCTCATCCAGCAGCAGCAGGGATGGGTCCTTGGCCAGTTGCATCCCTAGCATCAACCGTCGATACTCCGGCCTAGTGAGATCGTTCACCGACCTGTTGGCGACCTGCGATAATGCCAGATCGGCAAGGGTCTGCCGCACCCGGGCCTCGCGATTGCTCAGATTGCCGAGCCACGTGGCATACGTCAGGGTTTGACGTACCGTCAGACTCGGCAGTATATGACATCTGTGGGCCACGTAGCCGCCGTGACGTCGGAACAGCTCCGGCGTCAACAGGTTGCCGTTCAGAGTAATCCTTCCTCTCGTCTCGCCCTCCGCCCTTCCGGCTGAAAGAGACATGTTCAAGAGTTGTTATTTTGGTCGATGCCACGCTAGTTCTGAGACTGGATAGAATCATTATAGACATTAACAATCTTATCCTCTTATTTCCTTTATCTTCCTTTTCGATAAAATTCAAACAATGTAATTTTTAATTATTAAGACGTGTGTGATGCAGAAATTCACAAAATATAATAAAAAGAATTAATCATAGTATGATATAAACTTTAATTAAATTATCGTGAAAAAGTCGTTGCAATTGATACGCTATATTTTACAAACTTTTGCGAAACGCTGCAAATAACGGAAATTATTATGTTAAAGCACAATAATATTGAAGGAAAAAATGAATAGAATTGTTCACCGATAACATCAAGGAGAGCTCGCTTGCCGGAACCCTTCGATCCTAGAATGGCTAAGACTTCCCCTCCGTGAACACGAGCTGATACATCTCTAAGTACCGCGGTAGGCTCGGATTTATTAATGCAACTTCCTTCGATCACTACGGAGGTGGAATGAAATACGTTGGATATATCCAGAATACAATCGGATGGAATCATCTTGAGGATCAATATTAAGTTTATTTCCCACGATTACATTCCTCGAGATAAAGCTTGCGGAACTGTATGAAGGTAAAGATCATAAAATTATTTATTCATGTGTGTGCGTGCGTGAATATTATATAATTTTTATTATATAATACATATTATGTATGTGTGTGCATTAATTATATTATACATTAATTTTATCAAAAGAACAAATTTTATTAAACGCATATTAATAAAAAAAAAAAAAAAAAACACTTTACTCTTTTTTTCTATTTCTTTTTTGAAACTTAAACTCTGTGTCATCATCAAGAAAGTAATCACTGGAAAACTATGAGTCTGATTCAGTATTAAATATGTACAAAGTCACAAAGCAATCTAAGCGAGCGACGACGAATCACGGTCGCAAACGTCCTCGTCATCATAGATCCTTCGTTAGGAAAACATTGGTGCAATGCCAGGCAGGAGAATGGCCGTTAAAAAAATACATTAAATAACTCATGTAATATAAAAAAAAAAATTAATTTTGTAGCATAATATATTATTCTAATTATTCGTGCTAATACATTTTGAAGTATTAAAAACTTAAACATTTAGATGTTGCTAAATATAATTTAATATTGTTAACAATTTAACATTTGAATATATTACTGTAAATATATAATTCTTATTGCATATTTAATTATCATATACACGTATATTTTCCTTTGCCAATTAATCAAGACAATATAATAATAAATCGTTTTATTTTCTTTGCAATGTATTTAATTTATTATTTAATATATTTTCGTTTATTAAACCGAGACTTTATAATATAAGAATGTTTATTATCATAAATTAACTATAGTAAAAGAATTGATTCTAACAAAAATTGAAAATAAAATTTTCTTAGATATCAATAAAGAGAAATACAAACTTTGCAAGATGTTATAAATTATATGCGTTGAAAATAACATTTGGAGTACACCAAGAAGCAGAACTGTCACTAGATTCATCCGTCAATCGCACACTTGATCGTGTCCGGACTTCGGGGACGCCGCGTGCACTTTAACAAAGAGACGACGCTCGCCTTGACGGGTTGCCACGAAGAAGTTTTACAAAATGATAGTCCGTAATAATGCGTTAAAGATAACGCGAGAATGTGTATTCTCGAATGGCTGTCGCGGTGCGGATTGCAACGCGTACTGAGGCCGCCGCGCGCGGACGCCACGAGCGTAAAAGTGACTCGCTCGAGCGAGGCTGGGACGCAGGAAACGCGTAGCCGCAGGTAACGATACCTGGCTGGCTGGGAGTTGGCTCTCCTTGAGGTGAATGTCTTCTCCGACGCGAACTCACGCGGTAGGAGGGAAACCGACCCAGGCCGAGAACATCGGCGTAAGCAGTGCGATGCGAGATTTTCCGAGAGTCATGCGCGAAACATTGTCAGGATTCTTCGTGCGAAATATCCTAAATATACATTTCATGTTGTGTATAAATTATCTGAATATAAATCAGCAGTTTTATACAAAGTTACAAATCAAGAAACTGCGTGAAAGACGAACTATGTGAATTGTGAAGCGTTATAAGATATAAATTACGAAGATTAAAATGTACTTTTAGAAAGTATATGTGATGAAATAAAAATAAAATGCTGCCCACTTCTTTATCACATAACTGTTCGATAATAATAAAAAAGTCAGAATTCTAATTATATACCGTTACTCAAAAATGTATGTCGACGTGAATCTTTGTACATAGAATAAAGAATGGCGTAGAGAATTTTTTGACGAGAGAGTTGTTATATAATATATTAAAGAAAGATAAAAGTCTCGCGTGTATAACAAAAAGATATTTTAATATGTTTATTTCATGTTAATTAATATTATTTTATTTAATTCTCTATTGTATCTTATTTCTCTAGCTTAAAGTTATATTCTTACTCTTCTAAAATTGTTCCTCGTTAATCGAATACACTTCGCGCGTATAAAATGCGCGAAAAGATAACGAAATACAAGAGATCAAAAGGTGTAAAAAAATGATATGCAAAAGGGATAATCCGCAGACTGGATGATCGTAGATCTAAAATCCAAAAGTGAGTTTACGCCATTGCAAACTTGGCAAACCCGACGGTGGGGCGCGTGTGGGGCCCGGAGGGGAGAAAACTCGTGGGGGCCTCGGCGGGCCCGTCCGTCAGCGGCGACAGGCCAGCGTTCGGACAGGACTCCGGTGAGTCGCGCGATACTCGGCGCTTCGCGATCGCCAAACGCTGCAGGAGGACTTTTCTCGGATAATCGACGGCGTCGCGGGTGACGACGAAGAGGAAAGAGGGAGAGATCGTTTCCTCACGCGCGGGAAGTGCGTCCTGTTGCGAAAAGTGCATCTCTCAACCGGGAGAATCGACGACCGGCATGGAGAGGAGGCAGCAATGTCGTCACCAGCGTCGTGACTCGACCAGCTTCCAAGGTTGAAGGCCCAGCGCGAATACACAGCCGGTGAGTCATTGTCATGAAGATCATGCGGCGCAGCCTCCTTCCTTCTCCTCTTCGTCTTCGCGGTGAGCGTTGTGTTGTCTTGTGCACGGATTTTTCGAGTCTATTCACAAAATTTCATTCCATGCCTTCTATGCTCTGATATTGATTGGACTTGGTGGATTCTTGAATCGGGTAAAAATAAATTTCATGTATTTCTTCTACTTTTGTCGATAAATAAAAAATTTAAGAAGCAGTTTGAAGCACAATTTCGAAGGATAGACTCGTTTTATTATATATCGAAAGCATCGAGGAAAATTTGTGTTTTGCTTCTTCAAAAATATTTTTTTTGCTTTAATTGCGCGTTTAGATTTAGGTAGAATTGTGGAAAATATTTTTATTATCTTCTTATATTTGATACATTTCATATAATCTCGTATAGTTGCTGTGATTTTAATTATCTATACTATTCTATGTTCGAGTCACATGAACATTTATATTTAGGAGTACAATTGATTTTCTCGCGTTTGCATAACACGTAACAATAATTTTAAATATGAATTAAAAATGTAAATTATAAGATCACAAAAAATTTCGATTATGCAATATATGTCACGATTTTCCAAAATGAAAAGATATCATAATACTATCCAGAATCTGTGGAGCGAATCAGCCGTCTTCGAAAAAGAAATAACGGCGCGTTGTTAATCACTTGTTGCTTTCACCAGTACCGGCGAGTCTTTCTCGTTATGCAAAATCAGGTTTCCTCATCGTTGAACCGTGAATTAAAAGCTCGCATGCCGCGCAAGTTAAGCTGTTTCATAAGTACATACTTTTTCTTCAAGGAAGCGGAACACGCGACCCACTGGTCGACAAGTGGTCCTTAAAAATGCGACAACAAAAACACATGACATTTACATATATTATCTTATAATTTTTTATCACTTAAAAAACTAACTACAAAGTTACTCCCTCTTTCAATTTACTCGAATCTATTAATAAAAAGTTGATATACAATTCAATATGTAGAAAAAGTATAAAATATAACATAAATAAACATAAAAATTTTATTAACTTTTTATCTCTCTCTCACTTGATGATTACCAATAAAATTATTAGTTTAAGAATATATATATAGCTCAATTTTTATTACTAACAATACTATTTCTACGAGTAGTAAAATAAATAATTTTTATCGTAGAATAAAATATCTTATTGCAAAACGCGTACAGAACTCATGTTTCACTATATTCTAAATTATAGCAGCGCATAATTTTCTATTATGAGTGCGCGTGAAACCACTATTTCTACTTGTATTACATGCGAAAATAATGTCTTACCTTCCTGGGAATGGATTAGATCACGAACGCTGAAAGCGCCCGATTTATGTCGTATAACGAAGAAATGTAGTTTAAGAACTCTTTTTTTGGATTTCAGAAAAAGAGCGGATGGAGCGAATAATACAAATAATAATAGACTTTATTATAGGTCAACAGGAAAAAATATATCGAAATTACCGAACGATTTTTTAGTCTAGAGATTTAGTCTTATATATAGAAAAACTTTATAATTTTATTCTTTCTTTAGTAAAAATTTTGCGTGAGATATATACTATTGTGTTTTTCTTTCGAGTTTCTAACTTTTAAACCAATTAAGCAAGAAGTTGGTAATTAAGCATCAACATGGAATTTCCGTTAAAGTAACTTAATTTTGCAATCAATTAACTCGGAAAAACAAAGACTTAAGTTTCTTTTATTTACGCCCTTCTCGTTATCTCATATGTATCTTTATTCATATTTCCCAAGATGCGTTTTCTTCCACAAGTAAAAAGCAAAAGCGCGTGCGATTCGAGCCGTCAATTCTTTCGTCGCATTCCGCGCGTTTTCTCATTAGCGATGCAAGGCCATCAGCCCATAAGCGGTGAGTAATCGCAAAGCGGAAAGGGATAAGGATTCAATCCGTTCACTTCGATCAGATACTTCGGAGCGGATGTGTCGAAACGTAAATATACAAATCGTATCGCGAGTCGCCGGCAATCTCATTACAACGACAGGCGTCCCTCCGCGAAATCGCGAAGTCACGCCGGGTGACTTTAACGAGCGCACACGGGAGTGCTCTTCGACACTTCCTCGAGTGCGATGCGATTCTTCGCGCGAGTGATTTGCAAATTCAATTAGTTTCCTCTCCCCGTTTGCGTCCTCTCTTTCTGTTCGCGGGGGGGGGGGGGGGGGATGGGGGGGGGGCTT